ATATTAAATTAAAAAGTGAAATCTCCACATCATTAGATATTTTCAGGTTCTTCGAAAAGTAGATTGGAATAAATTCCACGGATGGTCAGCACTGGCAAAAGGAGGAGATACACTTCATTGAGGGCAGCTACACATAGTACCTTAAACTTGAGTAATTAAATGGGAAAAAATCCAAGAACTGTAATGAAATTGTAGATTTAGAACTATCACTGGTATCCCAAGAAATTGACGTAGGTAAGAGTTATGGTAGGCAGCATTCTGAAGATAGCCCCAGCAGCTGCTTCAGCCAGAATTTGCTAGTCATCAGAAGCAAGGGTTCTGGAGCAATAAAATAAAACAATAGCAGGCTTTTTTTCACTATCAGCAGTCATTCTGGGAATGTACTCAGAATAAACGCAAGCTGTTTCAGATACTGAATTTCATTAAAAACAAGGTATGAAGCTGTGGGATTCTAAAAAAGCTTCTAAAATGACCAAAGGAATGGATATCTTTTTCCATTATAAGGAAAAGAATAAAATACACTCCTCTTTAGTATGGATAAATCTGATCTAAGGCATGTAGGATCCTGTTGTTATTGTTTAGTTCCTAAGTCGTGTCTGACTCTTTGCGACCCCATGGACTGTAGCCCACCAGACTCCTCTGTCCATGGGATTTTTCAGGCAAGAATGTGGGAGTGGGTTGCCATTTCCTTCCCCAGGAGATCTTCCTGACCTGGGATCAAATCCAGGTCTCATACATTGGCAGGCAGATTCTTTACCACTGAGCCACCTGGGAAGCCCCACGTACGATCTTAGATTATACAATTAAAATAAAAGTAGAAATGGATGAGATAAACACAGACTTATTCATTAGGCTGCAGAATTGAAAGGGACTCTGTGGTTGCTATTTGAGTTCTGCTGCTTCCCTCTGGTCACTTAGGTCCTAGTTAGAAAGCCTGTGCTTCTGGACTGGAGGCCAAGGGGACGAGATCTGAGAGCAGCCCATGGTTTGCTGCCCTTGGCCACTTGCCAAGAAGCTCGAGCTAAAGAGTTTGCCATAGCAATTCTCTCATCTGGGAAGCAGGCTTCTAATTTTTCATTTGTTTCATGGGATTAAGTATGGCCTGTTGTGACATGGTTTCAGAAACACATTAAGATACATGAATTGAGAACATTTACGCAGTAAGATGAGAACAACAGGAGTAAGATGAAGTGCCAGGCCATCTGATTTTAGGTTTCAAACTTTTAGCTAGGAAAGATAAGCCAGCAGTTTGCTTAAATTTGCTCCTGATTTGCTTAAATTTGCCACTAGAGTGTAAGTTCCATGAGGCTGGAGTGTTTGTGTTTGTGTTTTGATCACTACAGTATTCCCATCACTTAAAAATAGCATCTGGGACTCTGTAGGTGGGTAAATAGGTATTTTCTGAATGGGTGTTCCATATATGATTTTACCCTTGTTAACTTTAGTAAGGATCATCTTAGTATTTGAAGGAATGTTAATGTTTATCTTCTTCAATGTACTGATCTTAGAAATCTAGTTTTTAAAATGTCTATAAAAATTAATTACCCAAGACCTTCTAATTCTATACCCTTCCAAATTAACATTTTCTTTGATTTTGTTGATTCTAAAAAAAAATTGAAATACTAGTGATAAGTGGATCTTATCCCTTAGAATATGGGAGAATAAATAAAATTCAAAATGCCAGTTGGTGACTGCAGCCATGGAATTAAAAGATGCTTGCTTCTTGAAGGAAAAGCTATGATCACCTAGACAGCATATTAAAAAGCAGAGACATTACTTTAGTGACAAAAGTCCGTCTAGTCAAAGCTATGGTTTTTCCAGTAATCATGTATAGATGTGAGAGTTGGACTATAAAGAAAGCTGAGTGCCAAAGAACTGATGCTTTTGAACTGTGGTGGAGAAGACTCTTGTGACTCCCTTGAACTGCAAGGAGATCAAACCAGTCAACCCAAAAGGAAATCAGTCCTGAATATTCTTTGGAAGGACTGATGCTGAAGCGGAAGCGCCAATACTTTGGCCACTTGATACAAAGAGCTGACTCATTGGAAAAGCCCCTGATGCTGGGAAGGATAGAAGGCAGGAAGAGAAGGGGATGACAGAGGATGAAATGGTTGGATGGCATCACCGACTCGATGGACATGAGTTTCAGCAAGCTCCGGGTGCTGGTGATGGACAGGGAGGCCCGGCATGCTGCAGTCCATGGGGTGGCAGAGAGTCGGACGTGACTGAGTGGCTAAACTGAACTGAAAATGCCAGTGATGCCTTGCAGTGTGACATTCCTAAGGCCATGATGATGAGTATAAAGTATTTAGCTTGTGATCATGGTTCCTCACCCTTTGCACTATTGAAGTTTTTAGCCTGTTAACTTTTTGTTTGGGGAAGTGGGTGCTGTCCAGTGCACTGTGGATTGTTTGGCAGCAGCCCTGGCCCCTACCATCTAGATGGCAGCAGCACTGTCCCTGTGCTGTGAACCAAAAGTGTCTGCAAACAGTGTCAAATGTCTTGTGGGGGGTGTCAAAAATTGCCCTTGATTGAGACCACTGTTTGAGACTTTGGGGATGTGATGACAAAAGCTTTACCCCAGAGAGAAAGTGATCAAAATACCTTAAGAATTAAGTACACGTTTCCTTTCAATTGCTAAGAAGATACAGAAAATTTGAACCAAATTAGACTTATTAAGAGCACAACACCTATAATGTGAGGGGGCAGATTAACATCAGGATTTTATAAACCATGTAACTGTACTCCAGTGAAGTCATAGAACTTCAGAAAGGAAGAATTTTTTAGAGTCATCTAGTGTACGCTCATTCAGTGAAACTGGCATCCTGAATAAATAACTTGCCCTGGTCTTATAGTTAATAAGTGGCATCTTAACGAATGGTACCACCAACACTTTAACAGTTGTCTGGAAGACACAAGCATGTAGCCTTTAAAGTTCCCAGTCTGATGTAGTATAATATTTACAGGGAGGGACACACAGCTGGACTAATATCCCTAAACTGGTACAAGAAGAAAGCATCACATGATGTTGAGAAAAGACAGAGAACTGGAGCAATAAACTAAAGGGACTTGTAATCCTGGCTGAAAATACAAACAAGTTCAAAAATCACTACTTTCAGTGGTAAAAGTAGCACAATGTTACAAAAACTAGTTTTGAGAGTCAGTCTATCAAAAAACACTGAATGCACCTATTTATGATGTTTGATAGTGAGAGACCTTTTTTTAAAATTTTTAATTGAAGAATAATTGCTTCACAGTGCTGTGCTGGTTTCTGCCAAACATCAACGTGAGAGACCTTTTTATACCACCTGAAACTCATCTTTAAACTTGCACAGAAAATTCTGAAAGGTACTGTGCTGCAACTCACGCAGACATGCCGTTAACAGTAGCCTTGACCTATGTGTCAGTGAAGTGCTGTATGGGGCAGTAATACAGATACTCTTGACAGTTTATTTAAGTTTCCTAAGCTCTGGTGAGAGGATGATAAATGAAAATATGCTACAAGCAATTATTACACTGAAAACCATCTTTGATTTCCCAAATATCAATGTTTAAGTGGCTCTTTTCCTTTTATTGATTTTAACCCTAGGTAAAATAGAATATCATTGTTTATATGGCAACCCATTCCAGTATTGCCTGGGAAATCCCATGGACGGAGGAGCCTGGTAGGCTGCAGTCCATGGGGTCTCGAAGAGTCGGACACTGAGCAACTTCACTTTCACTTTTCCCTTTCATGCACTGGAGAAGGGAAATGGCAACCCACTCCAGTGTTCTTGCCTGGAGAATCCCAGGGATGGGAGCCTGGTGGGCTGTCATCTATGGGGTCACACAGAGTCAGACACAACTGAAGCGACTTAGCAGCAGCAGCAAAATAGAATATCATTGTTTATCAAATAATAAGCTATAACTTTTTATTCCATTTATTTATTCATTAAAACATTTAACTGTGTACTTACAATGTACAAGCACTATGGTGGCAATGGGAATAAAGTAGTACAAAGGAGAAACAGGATCTGTGCACTCTAAGAATTATTATCCCACTGAGGAATAAAATTTAGATCAAAGTTTAACCATCTTACACAGAGAGTGACAGTGATATGGAGTACATGGCATTCAATCTTAGATTTTTTTTTCATTACTGGACTGACTGAGGAAACGACAACAGCAAAATAACCGTTTCAAGTAGGATAATATGAATGGTTGTATCTGACTCTGGATTAACCTTACTTTCCAAAAAGTAGAAGGATTTTAAAGAGAAACTGGTAAAAGTCCATGAAATGAGCACATACTATTTCATTTAGTAGTCACAACAAAGAAACTTAAATAGTATTATTTAATATCTAAATTTTATTTAAAAAATTGCTTAAACATAAAGAAGTTAGCTTAAGTAATACCCTAAGATTATACTGCAGGTTAGCAGTACACCGAGAAGCTAGGATTCAAAAGTAGGCAATCTGATTCTAGATTTCTACTCTTATCCCCTATGTTTGGTTGCCTAATTTTGAGGACTGAGTAAAATGAAAGAAAAAACATAAAGTTGGAGAGAACTGACAAAAGCAAGTATCAAGAAGATTATAGCCTATGAAACAAATTTTAAAGTAAATAAAGCAGCCATTGTATATATAAATCAAAATAACTCATGGACTACACAATTTTATAGACCTTTATGTTTAAGGAAAACAAAATTATTAGCATATAAGTAATTTCAATATTTTAAGAAGGTTAAAGAAAGCTAAAGATTTAGCCAAATTAACACAATCTATGGATTAAGAGATTTACTTTCAGCTTTGCGGAGAAATAAAAGAAGTAAAAAAGGGTACATGTATGTATTACAGTAGTGGGCTGTCTATGAAAATCATTTTTTAAAACTTTTTATTTTAGATTGACATATAGCTGATCAGCAATGTAAAGGTAGTTTTAGGTGGACAGCGAAGGGAATCAGTCATGTGTATACATATCCATTCTCTGCCAAAGAGAATCACTTTTATTTTATTTTTTACCTGATGGAGTGATGTCCTGAAGTATAGTCCAGTTTTCCAAATTTTTGTGTTTGGTAGCCATGCTTCTCCATGACATCCATCCATGTTGTATAATTTGGATCTAAGCCCTTAAAGTTATTCCAAGATTCTGTTAAGTGAGTGAAGAGCCCACTCCACATTGCTGGTGGAAAAAAAAATGGGATCAGTGTAAATAAAGCTTAACAATTTGTTTTAATGACTGAGACAATTATACCAAGAGAGAAAAGAGATTACTAGTTTAGAGTTCAGGCTCTGCAATAAGATATACCTGCATTAGGTGTTTTACCTAAACATTTTTGATTGTTACCTCGTTTTATTAAGGGGAAAACTGAAATGAGTTCCTATTTCCACTTTACAGGTGACTCTCTAAGGCTTACAGGTCAGGTTGTTTAAGGCAAATAGATGGAATTAAATATAAATCCTATCTTACTTGACTTTCTTTCAGTCATAATAATCACTATGTATTTATTGGTCAACTTTCCAAGTTGGTCAAATGAAGTACAGATTTCATTACCCCCAAATTCCCAAGGGTTTTCCTGTTTCTTGTCTTGTTACTGGCTTGCCACAAAAAAATTAAGTGTCCTATGTCTTCTTATTTTCTACAGCTATGATTGTTTAGTCAATAAATCTTTTCCCAAATATTAACAGGACTAAAGGGAGAAACAGACACAAATACAATAATACTAGGGGACTTCAATAGCCCTGCTTTCAACAGCAGGTAGATCTTTCAGACAGAAAATAAAAAAAGAAACACTAGACTACATGTTAGAACAGAATGGACTTAACATTTTCAGAACATTCCATCCCAAAACACAGAAAGTACATTCTTTTCAAGTGCAAATGAAATATTCTCCAGGAAGACTGTATGTCAGGTCAGACAATAAGTTTTAGTAAATTTAAGAAGACTGAAATCAATCAAGCATCTTTTCTGACCACAATGATATGAAACTAGAATCAATTAGAAGCAGAAAACTGAAAAATTCACAAATATGTGGAGATTAAGCAACATGCTCCGGAACAACCAATGGGCCAAAGAAGAAAAGAGAAATCAAAAACTTATTTCAAGACAAATGAAAATGGAAATACAGCATAGCAACACAAATGGCATGCAGAAAAAAGCATTTCTAAGAGGGAAGGTCATATCGATAAATACCTTTCTGTGGTATTGGTCATAATGTCTCCTCTTTAATTTCTGAGTCCTCTTTTTTTGTTTTTTTGGAAAGACTAGCTAAGGATTTGTCCCTTTTATTAAAAAAGAAACTTAGTTTTAGTCATCTTTTCTGTTGTGCTTTTAGCCTCTACTTCATTTATTTCCACTTTGATCTTTGTTTGTTTTCTTTCTTCTACTACTGTTGGGCTTAGTTTCTTCTTTCTTTACAATCATTTGCTCTGCAGCTATGTTCCAGTCATTGACCTCGGTCCTGGGCACACGAGTGTTAATAAGGCCCCAGTGTTCGGAGCCTAGCTTTGGTAGTTACTTCATTGTCGCCAGGTTTTTGGGAGGTAGCATTATGGCTGTATTTTGCTAGAAGTGTTGTGTGATGCACATAAACCTAATCTGACTGATTCAACTCATGAAAATGTTCTTATTCTCTCTAGAATATGATGTATATATACCTGAAACTAACATGCCGGGAGCCAGTTCACGAGATCCCACCCATGACAAGGTCACCAGGAGAAAGCCTGACAGGCAAGGCAGATCAGGTTTTCAGGGGTTTCAAAAAGGCCAGCTCACGAGATCCCACCCATGACAAGGTCACGAGGAGAAAGCCTGACAGGCAAGGCAGATCAGGTTTTCAGGGGTTTCAAAAAGGCCAGCTCACGAGATCCCACCCATGACAAGGTCATGAGGAGAAAGCCTGACAGGCAAGGCAGATCAGGTTTTCAGGGATTTCGAAAAGCTGCCCCCAGCACTCACCTTAAAGATATCTGTCTTTCTGATGCCTGCCTCAATGGACTACTCCCTAATTTCTGTGACACAGGCAGAAGGCCTTCCCCGATCTCTTCCCAAATAAGAATCAATTTAGAACTTTAATCAATTAGTTTCCCAGGTGGTGGTATTTTATGAGATTATCCAGGGTGAAAGGAGTGTTTTAATTTAAACTCCTTTGCTGGTATTTTAGTTTGTTTGGCAAATGCATTTATGCCCTTGGTACTAATATGCATGATTGCTTATANTCTCTCTCTCTCTCTCTCTCTCTCTCTCTCTTTCGCCAATGCCCTTCACCCCAAGGGTGCCCCCTGGATCCTGCCGAGGCTGCACCCTGGCACTAACACAGTATTTTATGTCAATTATATCTCAGTAAAGCAGGGGAAAAAAAGCCTTTTCCCTTTTCTGTGTACACATGTAGTAGGGTTGAATCCTTTTCTCACTTAACAAAATGCTTTCTTTATGAGAAGTGGTATAGGATATCACCTGACTTTGAATCCTAACACTGCTGGACCTTTGATAAGTTCTATAACCTTCCATTATTTTAGTTTTCATCCGCAAAATGGTTATAACAACAATTTCCACTTTGTGAAAATGTGGATAATTATACAAATTAAGACACGCAAGGCAGTTAGAATATGGCACACAGTAAGAATGCAATACATGTGAGTTTTTATTACAATTATTTCCTTCTCTTTGTTCAAACTGTTCAAAATGTACTTCCTCCAGGAAAAGCAACACCTAACATTTTTTAAATCCTTAGAGTTCCTTGAGCACTTTTAAAATCCATCATCTCATCTGATGCTAGGAACAGCCCTGCGAGGGACACAGCACATACAGCATTCTGTGATTAGGAAACTGAGGGATGCGCCTGACACAGTCCAATGAGGGCTGGAACCTAGTCCTCACCACCCTAGTACATCTCTTATTCCACTTGCTCAATAAAGAGCAAAAAACGAACAAAAGTGTTTGTAATGTACCTGGTCCTTCATCATGGAAATGTCATTTATAACACACTTTAGGTTTCTTTTAATCATCAGTGATTATATAATTGACAGTGCTGAACATGTAGTCACAGAAAAGAACTTGTGACTCAAATCACAGAGAATGTGATGTCAGGAACTCCACAGACAAAAGAAAATCATTGGGTGCTATTTATGAGTTCCAATGCAAACTGTCATAAAGTGGAAGAGAAAGAAAACTCTATCAGAGAAGAGAATTTATAAAAATGTCAATTTCCTCTATTTTTCAGTTAGTCATGACTTAATATCACCAATATCTTGCTATTAAAACTGCCTACTTCTTAAATTACTATAATAAAAGTAAACGATTAGATTTGGGATAGAAGTGAATTGAGACTGAAGGAAAAAATATCTAATCTGAAATAATACAGAAAAATCCAGGTATATCTGAGAAGTTTTATCTACTTTGTAGCGCAGATGGTAAAGAATCTTCCTGCAATACAGGAGACCTGGCTTCGATCCTCAGGTTGGGAAGACTCCCTGGAAAAGGGAACAGCAACCCACTCCAGTATTCTTCTCTGGAGAATCCCGTGGACAGAGGTGCCTGGTGGGCTACAGCCCATGGGGTCGCAAAGAGTCGGACACAACTGAGTGACTAATACTCCTTCAGTTTAGTTCCTTAGTTTACTTTAAAGTCCTCTCCCAACTACTTATCTCTTACTAAAAAATTTAAACGGAACTTTTCTAGGAAATATAAGCATTTCCGAATTTGCCTGGAGAGTCAAGAGATTCTTAGTCACCAGTCATAAGGAAATGAAACAATAACACTTGAACTAAACACTATTTTAGGTGGTAAAATTTCTACACTTAAAAAAGCCCAATACCCAATGTTGTTGTTTCGTCACTAACTCATGCCTGACTCTTTGCAACCCCATGGAGTGCAGCCTACCAGGCTCCTCTGTCCATGTGATTTCCCAGGCAAGAATACTGGAGGGGTTGCCATTTCCTTCTCCAGGGAATCTTCCCAAGCCAGGGATCAAACTCACGCTTTCTGCATTAGGAGGCCAATTCTTTACTGCTAAGCCATCAGGGAAACCCCCAAACACACCTCACATACATTAAAAATTTTTTATTAGATGCCAAATATGATTTACTATCCTATTTTGGAGTATAATCTTTTAAAGAGGGAAAACATTTTCAGGGTGGGGCTAGTTCCAGTAATATTAAGCATATTCGTACCTGCACGTGATGGACAGCAGATTGGAGAGTTTGTGTAGGCATTTAGAAAGGAAGTGCCATGTGCTTTCATGAAGTTGATAAAAGGAAGTTTCACTACCTGACTTCCTGGATAAAATGTTAGCCTTCCATCCTGGAATAAAGAAATTTAATTGTTTATGAAGCATTGATTACATCGCAAAATAAGAAAATAATTTCCTTTAATTTTAACCATAAAATTCACAAGTAGTTGGGACTTCCCTGGTGGTCCAGAGGCTAAGACTCCACGCTCCCAATGCAGAGGGCCCAGGTTTGATCCCTGCTCTGGGAACTAGATCCTACATGCCACAACTAAGAGTTTGCCTGCTGCAACTAAGACCCGGTATAGCCAAATAAATAAATATTTAAAAAAATTCACAAGTAGCAAAAAACTTCAGTATGATCCTGCTGCTGCTGCTAAGTCAGGTCAGTCGTGTCNCAGCACGCCAGGTTTCCCTGTCTATCACCAACTCCCGGAGCTTACTCAAACTCTTGTCCATTGAGTCAGTGATACCATCCAACCATCTCATCCTCTGTCGTCCCCTTCCCTTCCTGCCTTCAATCTTTTCCAGCATCAGGGAAACCAAGAATAAACCAAGAATAATTACAATACCATTACTGTGATATGGCCTTGAAAAAAATCTAAGATACAGAATAACAAAGGAAACCTTCTTGATAAGAGTGAACAGGGAAGGCTTCTCCGGGAAGTGAGAGCTAAAGAATGAGGAGGGTCACCCATTCAAATAAAGTAGAGACGCCTGCAGGACTTAAGTGGAGGTAACAACTGGGCAGCTAGAGAAATGAGCTGGAAGACTGGAAGAGATGTTTGGGTTGGAGATACCCATTTTGGAATTGAATTGGGAATTGAAGAACTCTTCTTGGTAAAGAGCAAAAAAGAGAAAAAAGAATGTTCCAGTCCTTGAGTTATATCTATTGTATGTTTTCAATGTAGTTTTGTAAATAAAATACAGTTTAAAAGTGAGCTATCCAAAATATAGGATATTCATAAATCTTTGAGATGTCTGAGATTTCCAAATGGAGATATAAATTAGGGTACAGACAGGAATCTGGAGCTTGGAGAAGTCTATCCTGGTGAAACAAGGCTTTAATATATTCATGGCATTGAAAACTGAGAGACAGTGAAATCTTTTAGGGAGAAAGCGAAAAGAGAGGAAAGAAAGAAGCCTTGAGGAGTCCCAGGTAAGAAGAGAAGGCAGAGTGGGAAACTGAGAAAGAATGACTATGGAGGGAGGAAGATATCAGGAGACTGAGTCTCATGAAAGCTGAGAGAAGACTGTGTCAGAGAGAGGGAACAGCTGTGTTCAGAGGGTGTGTAAATAAGGGCAGAAAATGCACATTGGAATTGGTGGCTGGTGACGCTGACAGGAGCACTTCCAATGGAGCTGTAAGAATGGACACCTAAAACAGAAAGGGAAGAGAGAATGGAGGCGAGATGACAGGTGAAGAAACCACTTCTAAGTAGTTTTTTTGCAAAGGAAAGCAAAAAAAAAAAAAAAAGGATGGATGTTAGCTAATAGAGGGTTAGATACAGGAGAAATGTGGGATTAAGGTCATTTTTTTAAAAGATGGGGAAAGTTAGAGCATGCTTATATGTTGAAATAAATACCACTTCTAACAGAAGTAATCACTGAATACTAAGCAAGTAACTCCTGATTTCTTGAATGATGAGCTATGGAGCCCAAGACAAAAGTGCACACTCTACCCTTGTAAGAATTTCACTAAATCCATAAATTCAAACTCTCGGAAACTTATCTTGATAAAACCCAAATGCCTACAGTTCTTATTCCTCCAATCTTTTGGACATGGGGGATAATAACCATTTGTGGCCACTGGCCGGATTCTGGACAACCCAGCCACCTAGGTTCATCCTTTCGGAGGGGTAGAGCAGGAGGTCTTGTAGCAGAAGCACTGGGATGCCATACAGACAGTGAGTCTTGGACTCCAAGTCCTGCAGACTAGTTTCAGTCGGGTGTAACGACCCCAGCAAATGGCTACAGTAGCGTGTCTGTAACTCACATTAGCAATTTCTTGACTCATTTCCATGGAAAGCAAGCTATAAAGCAGGTATCTTTAAGGAGCAGAACAGCAAGGATGGCAAACGGGGGAGGAGGTAACTACCTCACTTCAGGGGGTTTCTAACACAGCATATGTAAAAGGTGGTCCCTGTAAAGATTACTGCCTACGATATAAAGGCACTCAATAAATATTCAGTGAGCTAAATGAAACAAGTCTTTAATTCAGAGCTGTATAATTTACAAAAGGCAAATTCAATATGTTCAAAATTCAACACTGTGTTTTTGCAAAACTTAATAAACCTGGATTATGTGCATCAATGAAAAGATTTATATTTGACTAGGTTCTGAGAAAATATTTAAATTATGCTACACATATTCTCAATGTCAGAAGCATACTAATACTTTAAATGAAGATCAAAACTATATTATTAGAGAAAATACTGAACATTTCTAGAAGTTTTGGCTTTTTAACTTCATGTAGTTTTTACACACTACCAAATACTTTAAAAAATAGGCTAAAGTGGTACCACTGCTCATGGTATGGATGGGAGGTGGTTCATAGCACTTCATTCTGAACTGAAAAGGATCTTAACATGGTTAGCTGATAAAAACCACAGAGCAAGTAAGTTTTCCATAGTGTGGTACTGTAGTTCACAATGGATAATCAGTCATAGGTCTAAGTACAGTTCTAGCACACTTAGTTGGGAGAGATAATCTTACAGAACAGCTTTCAGAATAACTTTAATAATTTAATAATAGCCTATTTTAGTTTTCTTAAGGTCATTCCCACAGTTCAAACAAATAGAGTACTCTAAAACTGGGCATTTGAAAAAGAAANAAGTGCCAGAAATGATATTCATTACCTTTTGCCTTAGGTTTTGAATTCTGCTATTATTCTTGACTCTCCTGGGAGGCAGGCATTTCCCCCGCCTTGGAATGGATAAGCTTTCTGGTGGATATAATTTTGTGATCTGGATTGCTCCTTTTAGAGCCATGACTTGGTTCAGTTCAGTTGCTCAGTCGTGTCCGACTCTTTGCGACCCCATGGACTGCAGCATGCCAAGCTTACCTGTCCATCACCAACTCCTGGAGCTTGCCCAAACTCATGTCCATCGAGTCGGTGATGCCATCCTACCAGCTCATCCTCTGTCGTCCCCTTCTCCTCCCGCCCTCAGTCTTTCCCAGCATCAGGGTCTTTTCCAATGAGTCAGTTCTTCGAATCAGGTGGTCAAAGTATTGGAGCTCCAGCTCTAGCATAAGTCCTTCCAATGAATATTCATGACTTGGTATGCAACTCCTTATCATTTTGGGCCAGGGAAAACCAGTGAAGTTTAGATTTCAAGACATCATTCTAATGAAAGAATATAATAGTAATCTTAACTGTGATGCATTATCAATCAAGACTGTTCAGAGCATTCTTATCAGATCCGTTCATCAGACTGAATGAGAATCTCACTAGGCTTTGCTATCCAGTTCTGTGCCCACCTCCCACTCCTGAAACCTCATGAAAACTACAAAGAGCATAGGTGCAGGGGTGAAGGAGGGAGGCAGAGAGGATGCTTACGCCCTTACACCTTTAAGATTCAGGCTGAGTTGCCTATTTTCTCTTTTAAAAAATGGGCTTATTAAGATATAATTCACACATCATACAACTAACCCATTTATACAATTCAGTGGTTTTTTAGTATATTTAGAGAACTGTTCAACCATCATCACAATCGATTTTAGAACATTCTCATCATGTCCAAAAGAAACCTACTATTCCTTAACTGTCACCTGCTAATCCTCCTGTTCTCCCAAATCTAGGTAATTGTTGGTCTGTCTCTACTGTCTCTGTAGATTTGCTTTCTTTGGCCAAATGGAATCATAAAATATGTTGTCCCTTCTGAGTAGCTTCTTTCACTTAGCGTAATGACTTTTAGGTTTATCCACGTTGCAGCATGTATCAATACTGCATTTCTTTTTTATTGTTGAGAATTATTACTAAATTTTATTTGTCCATTTATCACCTGGTGTATATGTGGGTTGCCTTCACTTTTTGGAAGTATTAATATCTATGTACAAGTTTTTGTGTGGACATATGTTTTTATTTCTCTTGGATATATACCTTGAAGTGGAATTGCTGGATCAATGTTAAACTCAAGTTTAACATTTTTGGAATTGCTAGATTGTTTTCAAAACTGGCTTCACCATTTTACATTCCCACCAGTAGCATATGAAGGTTACATTTCTCTCATATTCTCATGGCTCTAGTGTGCCTCTGATTATAGTCATCTTTGTGGGTGTGAACTAGTGTCTCATTGTGGTTTTGATTTGCATTTCTGTAATGATTAACAATGTTGAGTATCTTTTCATATGTTTATTGGCTATTTACATATCTTCTTTGGAGAACTGTCTATTCAGAACTTTTGCCCATTTTTAAATTGCCTAAGGGTTTGCCAGGTGGTGCTTGTGGTAAAGAACCGGCCTGCCAATGCAGGAGACATAAGAGATCTCTGTGGGTTCGATCGCTGGGTCAGGAAGATCCCCTGGAGCAGGAAATGGCAACCCACTGCCTGGAGAATCCCATGGACAGAGAAGCCTGGCAGGCTACAGTCCATGGGGTCACAAAGAGTCAGACATGACTGAAGCGACATAGCACGCATGTGAATTGTCTAATCTAAAGTCACAGATTTGCACCCATGTTTTCTTCTAAGGTTTCAATAGTTTTAGGTTTTATGTTTAATTTATCAGTTCACTTTGAGTTACTTTTTAAAAACGGTGTGAGATATTTGCATGTGAATAATCAGTTTTTCCAGCATTATCTGTTGAAAACACTATTCTTTCCCTTATAAATGGTCTTTGCACCTTTACTGAAAAATCAAATGAGAGTTTGAGAGTTTATTTCTCTATGTTCAATTCTATTCCATTGATTTATATGTCTATCTTTATACTGGTGACACACTATCTTGATGACTATAGTTTTGAAGTTAAGGTAAGTTTTGGAGTTAGAAAGTTTAAGTCCTCAAATTTTGTTCTTCTTCTACAAGACTGCCTTGGGTATTTAGGGTCCCTTGAATTTCCATATGAATTTCAGGATTTTTTTTTTCTGTTTCTGCAAAAATGTCTTAGGGATTTCTGCAGAGATTGCATAGAATTTGTAGATCAATTTGATAATTATTACTATATTAACAATATTAAATCTGATTGCATAAACATAAGATGTTTACCTAGGTGTTCATTAACTTCTTTCAACAATGTTTATAGTTTTTCAGAGTATAAGAATTGAACTTCTTTGGTTATATTTAATCCTAAGTATTTTATATTTTGGATGCTATTTTAAATAGAATTATTTTAATTTTATTTTTAGCTTGTTCATCAATCAAGGCTATAAAAATACAATTGACTTCTATATACTGATCTTATATCCTACAGCCTTGTAGACTAACTTATTAGTTCTAAAAGTTTTGTAAAAAAAAAAAAATTTTTTTTTGTAGTAGATTCCCTGGGATTTTCTTTATACAAGGTTATATGTTATCAGTAAAATAGAGACATTTTTCCTTTCCAATCTAGATGCCTTCTATTTCATTTTCTTGTCTAATTCCCTTCCTAGAAAACCACCAGCTTAACTGCTGAATAAACACGGTGAGAATAGATAGCCTTGTCTTGTTCTTGGTCTTTGTGAGAAAACATTCAGTCTTTTATAGTTAACTATAACATTAACTGTGGATTTTCTGCAGATGTTCTTAATCAGGTTGAAAAAATTCTATTTTACTTGATTGAGTGCTTTTATCATGAAGGGTTACTGAATTCTGTCAGATGCTCTTTCTGTGTCTATTGAAACCATCACGTGTTTTTTGTCCTTTACTCAATTAACATTGACTAGGTAACACTCTGGTCTATTACACTGACTAGTTTCCAGACATTAAACCCACCTCACATTTCAGGGATAAATCACATTTACTCATGGTGTATAACCCTTTCTATATATTGCTGAATTTGACTTGCTAGTATTTTCAGGACCTTTTCTTCTTAAGAGATATTAATCTGCATCAAAATTTACATACACACATACAGAAAAATCTGTGTGTTTATACTATACCAAAAACAAACAAACAAACCCCAAATGTGTCAGTCATCTTGGGAAGTTTCTCGGATGTTGTGACACACCATGCAGATTCCCTTTTAAAGTATAACATCACCTCTGCTGACGATAGTTGGTGCCCCATTCTGGCTGCATTCCACAAATAATGGCCATCCAACATGAAGGCAGAAAGACCTGGTCTCCTCCCCCAAACTGGAAACAGCTCTGAAGCATCATACTAGTTTGAGAACTACACACAAGATCAGCTGAGGCCTGCACTGGGACAGTGACAACAGTCAGTTCTCTTTTTGCACAATCCTGCTTCCTTCCTTTCCCTTTAATCTCAAGAGCACTGAAAATAAACTTTCTTGTTACTCTCCAAGATTGCCTGTTAGGATCCTAAGTTTAGATAATCATAAAGATTACTTTAAGTAATAAATTCTCAATAAATTCTCGGGGTATATCCAGATTATGTAACTTTAATCATCCTGGGTTATTTTATGAGGAAGGCAATACCAGGTAATGATTAAAAGTGCTCTTTGCTGCCAGACATGCTTAACACCAACAATCTCCGTGACCACAGTGATACCCTGTCATAATAAACTAATATTATAGTTAGCAAACATACATTTGTCCAAGCAGTGGTTTTAATATCATGGATAATACTAAAACTATCAGGTAATGTTAATATTTGTATTCTTTCTAGTTGATGGTTTGGGATCAACTGTTAAGTTTTTGGGATAAACTGTTTAAGTTTGGGATTAACAACAGCAACAACACATACACGCATACAGTTTATCCGGAATATGGGAGAATGGGTCAAATTATGTCAACTAATGAATATAAATCAGCACTAACAGGATTATCAGACAACTGGGTAATAAAAGTACATTGATCGCTGGAAAGCTAACAGGCTTTTACATTGATGCAGAATGTTATTTTTCCCCACAACTGAATCAAGCGGGGATATGGACTGAAAGTTTATTAGTAATTTAATGGGCTAGCAAAGAAAAAAAAATTTGCTAAAATGCGAATCGGAGTGCATGGTACTCCGATGCTTTTATCGGATGCTTTTATATGTGTTACATGCATATCTATGTGGTGCACGGAGGTCAGTACAGGGCGTCAAGGTAAAATGCATTTTTGCTTTGCATCAGGACAAAACATGTTTAAAAGTTTCAGATTCTGCTCCCCGAAGCCTGCAGGCATCGCGGCTGTGCAGCAGGGCGCCCCCTCCCGTGACTTTCCATACTTACGAAGGAGTCGCTGACGACTAGCACCACGTTGGGAGCATCCGGCCAAGCCTGAACTGCTCCCCGCCTCTGCCCACCGGCCCCGGGAGCTGGTGCTGCCAGCGCCGAGGCTGCAACCACCGACACCCACAGCAGCAGCATCTCCGTTTACTGGGAGCCTGGCCTCCGGGCGCTGAGCCCCCCTCCCCCGCGCCTCTCCCTCTAGGAAGTTCCTCGGGAGAAGAGGAGGGCGGGGATTGCTTTCACCCACAGAACTACAACTCCCATGAGGCTCGAGATAAGCGCATGTGCACAGGAGGAGCGCCCGTCTCTCAAGTCTCGTTAAGACCTTCTAATCAAATACCGAGCGAACTAAACCTCCCTTCCAAGCCCCTTCAAGTCACGTGATCGATGCCTGGGGGAGAAATGCGCATGCGCCGTGCCTTGAGCTTGGGCGTTTTGTAGTAGAGGAGCATCTCCTTTCCCAGGTGGGTTTTTTTTGGGGGGGGTTGCTGTCTCTTTTTGCAGAAGTTGAAGTCAGTCGGCCTGTGGAATTGTCACCTAGAGCGAGGAAGGATAGGGTTCTGGGGGCTGCCGGTTTGGCGCCGGGCGAGCCTGGCCGAGTGTCAGGCGAGACTGGGAGACGGTGAGGTGGCAGCCCGTCTGTCACTGAAGCTGAACCGGGCGGTTCCTTGTGGGGCGTCTGTCTGTTTGTCTGGACCGCCTCACGCGGAATGCGGGTACCGTGAGGCGTCTCGAACACCTTCCCCTGAAGAGCATTTCCAGCCTGACTTGTCCTGTTCCCCGCTTTTCCCATGCAGTGATGAGCTCCGGAGGGGTGAGGGTTGCGGCCTAGTAAGACAAGTTTCATCTTTTGGGGTGAGGATGAGCTTAGGTGCCCTTTGCCTCCAGAGTGCGAAGGAAAGAAGACCTGGACGGGCCCTCGGAGGAACAAAGGCTGGGCTGTGTGGCTTGTTCGAATAACCTACAGAGGTTCAGAATACCATTGTTCCGCTGCTGTGGTTTTTTAGAGATCTCTGGTTCTCTTGACTGTTGAACTCCTTTGGAGAAATCTGGGGGGTGGGGGGTGGGGGAGGCAGATTTCTAGTCCCAGAGCCAAGTTCCTGATGTGGTTATTATAGTTTCAGGTGTATAATTTGTGCATCACCTTAGTCGCTTTAATCTTTTGATACGAAAAAGGAAAAGTTGTAGTATTTTTTTCTGTGAAATAAACTTTTCATACTAATATTGGACAGTGCCTTTTGCAGAAAATAATTACAAAAAGAGACAGGCTGTACTTAATACATAATACAGTGCGCTTATTATGTGCTGAGCGTTATACTAAGCATTTATCCAGCACCTGTTGTGTGCCAAGTCCTTTTACGTAGAGTATTTTCTGTTATCCCCACTTTCAGTGTTTTTCAGATGGGAAAGCTGAGACCTGGACAAGTTGAATGACTTGCCCAAGGTTACAGAGGGAACAACAGTCTGAGTAGGACTTGAATTTGAGTAGTCTGTCCTGGCTCATCGCGTTGTTGCCTCTAATTAACTGTAGGATGTTAGGACATTCTGATGAATTTAATCTATGTTAGTTAGTGAAGCAGCGCTGTTAGGCAGCATACTAAACATCTGTGGGAGCAGACAGATACAGAAACAATAGTCCCAGACCGTAAAGAACTTACACCCTAGGGAAAAACTGAAATAACAGTACAGCGTGAGAGGTAATACACATAGGCTCCCTCACAAACAGGATCTGTTTCAAATATTCGTTTTGAGTTAATTCGGAATATGTATTCTATATCTATAGAAAATGTATTCTATTTTGTTAGAGAAACAATGTTGACTGACATTTAAAGTCATTAAAAATATATTTAACTTTATCTGTGGCATAGTACTGATTTTCTGAACTCTTCACTCTCTGTGGCCTTGTTTTCTCAGGACGTGCATTCAGAGTTGTTGGTCAGGGTGAGTGAATCACATCGTTTTCTTCCTAGCTCTCCCATTGGCAGTGTTAGTGGAAGCAGGTGCTGTGGTGGTTTGGAGCAAGATGGATATTTTAGGGCCCCAGATGTATAGCTCTGGAAGACTCTAAGAGGCTTCTCATCTTCCTTCTCCTCTGACATTCGGTTTGTTCTACAGTATCCCTACCAAGTGGATTGTGCAGTCTGTGCCTTTTCATCTCCAGTGATGGGAGACACACTTCTTTGAAGAGCCCATTCCATATTTTTATTGGTCTGATTATTAAAAGCTCGTGTTTTGAGCTGAAGTCAGTCTGTGTATACTTTTGACCATTCATTAGTCCAGTTATCTTCACTTTTACATGAGTAATCTTTCCTTTTCAGCTACCCTTTGCACCTTCCCCTCCAGGTTTCCCGGCCACCGCCCCCCAGGCCTTCCTGGTTTCTTTGGGTAATTATCTTGCAATTTCAGTTTGTTTGTATTTTGAACACTCTATTCTGGACATAAAGCTTAGTTGCTAGCCAGGAACTTACCATGTCGGAAAAGGTGCTCTTGAGCGGCGTGTGTACACGTCTCTGTGTACACACCTCTCTGTGTATCGCTGTGTGTATTTGGTGTGTTGCACTGAGGGAAGGGCTCCATTATGTGTATGTTTAAGTCATCAGTTAAAGATACCTGTTAGGGTTAATTGCTTTAGTGAAATACTTAACTTTGCAGTTCAAAAAATTCTTCACTTTAAAGTCTGGATGTAGGTTTTGGTTCTTCATAGTCTTTTAGTGTCCAAAATACCAACAGCACTATATTCTGCTCTAAGAAGAAGAAGCTAAGTGTGCAGTTAGTGACTGTGTGGAATAAATTCAGTCTTCACCTGCTGTGATTCTGTGACTGTTTATTGAATATCTGAAGTGTACCAGACCCCTGGGAAATAGAAGGGAGAATAGGAAAGTCTTTGTTCCTAAGAAACTTCCACTCTAGTTGTGGGAAGTAAACACACATACCCCTGTAAATGTAATAGCCATGTAAAAAGATGTCAAAAAGTACAGCTAGCTGCCAAACAAAGCCCCGAACCAGAAAATCCCAAATGGTGCTTTGGAGCATGCTGGTGTGTTTCACAATGTTAATTGCTGTTCATTGAAATAAATGTTCCATAGTAATATAAGTTTCAGAGTTGCTAGGTTAAACTATATTTGGATCTCTACTGTAGAACTTCTCAGAGCCTTTAAAATCCACTGTGACTTTAAAAAAGTGATATATAGTTTGCAGTATTCACAGAATTGCTAGATATGGTAACACCTTTAAGCATGTTAATGTTCCAAATATATTAGTGAAAATGTTAGTCTAGACTGTAAGTGTTAGAAGTTCAAACCTGTGTGAGATTTGTCTGAGAAGACTTTATGCTTGACACTTGAATTTGGCCTTGAATTACACGTAGCATTTGCGTAGACAGAAGCAAATGTGAACAGGCTGAATGGGAGAAGAAAAGTCAGAGATGTGAAAAGCGTTGGGGAATGGTGGAAAAAGTAAATGTGAGGTAATACTGAAAAGGGGATTCTTCCTTTCTCACTTTAGCTAATTGAAAATCACTGCATTTTGAATGTAGGGAAACTGAAAATAAAATGTAGTTGAATAGGGTTTGGAAGCTGAAAGGTTATAATACTTGATAGATGTTGGATACACGAGGAACTCCAAAAATACATTACCTTTTTATAGGGATTTTTTTACCTGAGAGACAGGATACATTTGTTTAGAACATACATGCATGCTCATGTCTGACTCTTTGTGACCCCATGGACTGCAGCCTGCCAGGCTCCTCTGTCCATGGAATTTTCCAGGCAAGATACTGGAGTGGGTTGCCATTTTCTCCCCCAGAACATAAAGCATCTGTTAAGTTGCAGTCTAGTATTTCTGTAGTAACTAATTTGAAAAGGATACTTGTGTTTGATGGTAGCCATTTTTTGAGGAACATAGACAAGAAGATTACTTCTTGAGGGATCAAGGAAGATAGGATTGGGGGTTTTAAATGTGTCTAAAAGGTATATAATAACCACTGTTGAGTTAGGAATGGGAAAAAAGTGGTGAAGTAGATTGAGAGAGTGGTAGGGGATAAGGCCTGCAGAACTAGCAGATACTATGTTCTGCTACTCTATCTATGTACATATCAGGTAAGTGATGTTGTCCTCACTTTACCAATGAGGAAATAGACTTGGAGGTGAAGTAAGGTGCCCAGGATCTGTGGAGACTTGAATCCAGATCCATCTTTGTTGACTTGGTGGGTGGATATGGCAGAATGAAGGAGCTGACAAAATCTCGGATATTTTCTGAGAACAGAGTTGGAATGACTGAGTAAATCAATAAAATCAAGTTGAGTGAGGAGGGTGATCATTTGTAGACCCACTCCAGTGTTCTTGCCTGGAGAATCCCAGGGACGGGGGGACCCTGGTGGGCTGCCGTCTATGGGGTCGCACAGAGTCGGACACGACTGAAGCGACTTAGCAGCAGCAGCAGGGGCTTAAGGAAGTTAGTTACATGGAGAGTTAGGTTTTAACATTTATTTTACCTCCCCACTTCTTGTTTAACTTTTATTTTACTTTCCTAAACATTGTGAGGATCACAATACTTTCTTTTCTTACCAGTAAGACCCTCTTCTGTGGAACTAACCCTTCTATTTAAATAGGTTTATCACTAGTGCATGGTTTAGCAAACTTACTATTTCTTTTTCATCTCCACCTGCTTCACCTAAGTTTTGTTCATTTCCTAGTTCTAAAGAGGCATTTTTTTTTTCCTTTATTCCATTTTTCAAAACCACCTCTATTCTTGCCCGGAAGCATTCTAGATTAATTTTGTTTGACAGAATCCATTCCCGAGATAGTATCAAAAGATACTTAGAGTTTGTAGTCATGTAGAATTTGTGTTAGTATTTCAGATGGCTAGTTAGATGGATTGTTAATACCAGAAAAAGTTTGGTCTGTTTAGTTAAATTTACAAACTAGTTGCCTGATGTGGGCAGCTTTTTTTCATATTTAAAATTCTTTATGTGGCTTAGAACAAGATTCACTTCAGTGTAATTAGGTTGCAAATTGGGAGTAAGTAAGTGCCTTTAATGGAGGAAGAAATGGCAACCACTCCAGTGTCCTGGCCTGGAGAATCTCATGAACAGAGGAGCCTGGTGGGCTGCAGTCCATGGGGTTGCAAAGAGTCAGACATGACCGAGTGACTAACACATACACACAAGTGCCCTTAATTGTTCTAGATTTAAAACAAAGTGTAGATGTAGATAATATTCTCTTCTGGCTGAGTTTTTTTACATTGAAGTCAGTGTATTTTGAGTTTCTGTATTTTTTTCCAAATATGATTGCTTATGGAAGTTTGTTTTGGCACCTTACTGGTGACACAGTTTAGATGACTTCAGAAATTTGGAGATTGTAATTAGTGTCTTTTTAGGAAAGAAAGAAATTGGAAAATTGTACATAATTCTCATGTTTTAAATTATAAATTATGAAAATTTAACCTGAATCTGATGTGTCAAAAAATTCAACATGTTGTGGGTGGTGTATGTCATCTTTTTTATGTGCCTAACTGTCTTATGTTTTATTTAATCTAGATGGATAAACATTTAAGGAGCAATCTGAAACTCAGTTTACAAAGAAGATAGAGGTAGTGATAATAGGTAAAAGGTAAGTGTCTGGAATGCTAAATCGTAGGTAGCTGTACTCTACTTTTGCTTAATGATTGATACTACCAATTCTTTTGAGAAGGAAGATTAAATGGTGCAGGTTATTATCCCAGATTATAAGTCATCACAGAGCACCTTTTGACTTTTGTAGTTAGATTTAAAGGTTACCATTTATTTTTGCTTTTTGTAATTAACTTCCATTGTTGTTAATCGTTACTGTTTTCTTATTTTTGCTTTGTGGAATGTTTGTATCTGGCACAGTTGAATGTGGCTTCAATTTCCATAGCTTTAACTGGGGTGTGTAGGACATGTCAGTTCATCTACTTGTCATCTAAATGTTAGTTTTGAGGTATATCATTGTCTTTTGGCATGGTTGTCACTTTGTATCTTTTTATTAGGTGCGGTTGTTGCTTTTTATGTTTGATATGGTGAATCAAAACCCTTTCAGTGGTAGTAAAAAAAAAAAAACCCTTCATTGAGTGAGAATGTGCTAAATAAACACTTTTCTTATCATTGAGATAGAGGATAAAAAATGGGAGGAGAGGTATAAGGATCAAGTTTGTGGGGCTATGGAAGAATATTAAAGACACTTGTAAAAGGGCTGGGGTTTTCTCTGAAGTGTTGGAAATGCTTGAGATAGAGGGAAGTATCCCAAACAGAGGAATATGAGGTTACGTGGAATCCTTGTGAGTAGTAGGATTTTACTCTGTGAAATGGGTAGATGATTAGTGCAGTATAAAGCTTTGTGAAGAAAATGAGTGAATGAGCCTCTTCATTCTCCATAACACTTCCTGAATAAGAGGAAGACATTTTCAGGGCTAGAAAGAGGGCTAGAAAGGCAGATTATTTTGTCTTTCAGAAAAATATAATCTCCTGAAACTAATATTTATTTTTATATATGCATTATATTTTAGGTGAAGAGAGAAGGTGTTAGTGCTAGCTTGTTATGCTAAATGCCAAATCGAATGAACAAGGGATAGGAGGAGAACAGAGGATTCCACTGCAACAAGTTTGTTGTTCAGTCAGTTGTGCCCAACACTTTGTGACCCCATGGACTGCAGCACACCAGGCTTCCCGGTCCTTCACTGTCTCCCAGAATTTGCACAGACTCATGTCCTTTGAGGTGGTGATGCCATCCAACCATCTCATCCTCTGTCACCTTCTTCTCCTTTTGCCCTCAGCCTTTCCCAGCATCAGGGTCTTTTCCAGTGAGTCAGCTCTTCGCATCAGGTGGCCAATGTATTGGAGCTTCAACTTCAGCATCAGTCCTTCCAGTGAATATTCAGGATTGATTTCCTTTAGGATTGACTAATTTGATCTCCTTGCTGTCCAAGAGTCTTCTCCATCACCACAATTTGAAAGCATCAATTCTTCTGCGCTCAGCCTTCTTTATGGTCCAACTCACACATCCATACAGGACTACTGGAAAAACCATAGCTTTGACCATATGGACCTTTGTCGGTGAAGTGATGTCTGTGCTTTTTAATACACTGTCTAGATTCATCATAGCTTTTCTTCCAAGGACCAGGAGTCTTTTAATTTCATGGCTGCAGTCACTGTCCATAGTGATTTTGGAGCTCAAGAAAATAAAGTCTGTCACTGTCTCCATTGTTGCCTCATCATTTGCCATGAAGTGATGGGACCAGATGCCATGATCTTCATTTTTTGAATGTTGAATTTTAAGCCAGCTTTTTCATTCTTCTCTTTTACCTTCATCAATAGGCTCTTTAGTTCCTCTTCACTTTCTGCCATAAGGGTGGTATTATCTGCATATCTGAGGTTATTGATATTTCTCCTGGCAATGTTGATTCCAGCTTGAGCTTCATCCAGCCTGGCATTTCACATGATGTACTTTGCATGTAAGTTCAATAAGCAGGTTGACAATATACAGCCTTGATGTACTCCTTTGCCAGTTTGGAACCAGTTCATTGTTGCATGTCCAGTTGTAACTGATGCTTCTTGACCTGCCTACAGGTTTTTCAGGAGACAGGTAAGGTGGTCTGGTATTCCCATCTCTTTTAGAATGTTCCATTGTTTGTTGTGATCCACACAGTCAGAGGATTTAGTGTAGTCAGTGAAGCCGAAGTAGATGTTTTTCTGGAATTTCCTTGTTTTTTCTATAATCCAACAGATGTTGGCAATTTGATCTGTTTTCTTTGCTTTTCTAAATCCAGCTTGTACATCTGGAAGTTCATGGTTCACATACTGTTGAAGCCTGGCTTGGAAAATTTTGAGCATTACTTTGCTAGCATGTGAGATGAGTGCAATTGTGCAGTAGTTTGAACATTCTTTGGCATTGCCCTTCTTTGGGATTGGAATGAAAACTGACCTTTTCCAGTCCTCTGGCCACTGCTGAATTTTCCAAATTTGCTGGCATATTGAGTGCAGCACTTTCACAGCATCATCTTTCTAGGATTTGAAATAGCTCAACTAGAATTCCATCACCTCCACTAGCTATCTTCATGGTAGTGCTTCCTAAAGCCCACTTGACTTCATACTCCAGGATGTCTGGCTCTAGGTGAGTTATCACACTATCATGGTTATCTGGGTTACCAAGACCTTTTTTGTACAGCAAGAGTCGATGTCATTACCTGTGGAGACATGTCAAGCTATAGAAGGGTATTGAAGATTCAAATTGGCAGCCAGGAGAAGAATAGAATTTGTCTCATATGGTTTTTAAAAATAACCCACTTCGAGGCATTTGACAGCTCCATGTTGGCTGCTCCATTTAAGTCTAGATTTGTCTCATTTTCAAAGTCTTATGTAAACTGGTGGTCTACCTACCCAGCCTAATTTTCCTCTGTTCTTCAGCAAGGCTTGGAAAATTTTGAGCATTACTTTGCTAGCATGTGAGATGAGTGCAATTGTGCAGTAGTTTGAACATTCTTTGGCATTGCCCTTCTTTGGGACTGGAATGAAAACTGACCTTTTCCAGTCCTCTGGCCACTGCTGAATTTTCCAAATTTGCTGGCATATTGAGTGCAGCACTTTCACAGCATCATCTTTCTAGGATTTGAAATAGCTCAACTAGAATTCCATCACCTCCACTAGCTATCTTCATGGTAGTGCTTCCTAAAGCCCACTTGACTTCATACTCCAGGATGTCTGGCTCTAGGTGAGTTATCACACTATCATGGTTATCTGGGTTACCAAGACCTTTTTTGTACAGCAAGAGTCGATGTCATTACCTGTGGAGACATGTCAAGCTATAGAAGGGTATTGAAGATTCAAATTGGCAGCCAGGAGAAGAATAGAATTTGTCTCATATGGTTTTTAAAAATAACCCACTTCGAGGCATTTGACAGCTCCATGTTGGCTGCTCCATTTAAGTCTAGATTTGTCTCATTTTCAAAGTCTTATGTAAACTGGTGGTCTACCTACCCAGCCTAATTTTCCTCTGTTCTTCAGCAAGTCCTTCCTCTTCCATTCAGCCTGACTTCCTTATTGTTTCCTGCACGTTCCACACTCATTCCCATCTCTCCGACTTTGCTAATGCAATGCCTCTGGCTGGAGTAAGTTTCCTTCTTCCCTCCATTCTCAGATCCTTTCTCTACCTCTACCTCGTCGCTGTTGATTACTTCACATCACACTTCTGCCGTCTACACTCGTATTGTACTTGCACTCATTAGCCTTAGTTTAGAATTTGATTCCTCAGTGACTCACATGCCTTAGGTCTCTCTCTAGATTGAGATTATTTTCTTAAGAGCAGAGGCCTTCCTTTCTATGTCTTCTGTCAAATGCAGCATATAGCTTGGGAGCTGCATGTTGGGTTGGTGCTGACTGCTTCTGCTTTGTTCAGATGTGCTTTTACTTGTATGTTGGCTGATAGAAAAGATGGTGATCTTTGTCCTGGGCAAGTTGCATTCTTCTGTTTGCTTTTGCTTGGTCTTATCTTGAAACTGTTTTTGTTCTTTTTTAACTTGGGTATCTCTTGGTTTTTTTCTTCTTGGGTGTCTCTGTATCCCTTTCTGTTGGTCCAGATTAGCTGTCATCATCACTGTCATTCTCTTCATTCAGTCTGCAGGTTTATCTACCAGAGATAACTTTGGTGTGAGAAATACAATGTAGCATCAGCATAGAGACTTGGTTGCTTCAAGCAAGATTTGCAGATTGTATAAAAACCCTTCTGATGTTTTACATCTGTAAATTTATGCCAATATAATTTCAGGTAATAGAGTAGCATCCAAAATAAGAGCATGTGAATATGTTGCTTTAATTGTATAATTATTGTAACTACACAAAAAGCCCCTTTTCTGCCTATTTAGGGAATCTCATTTTGGCTGTAGATAAACTGATATTTTAATATTTTAGTTTTTGTATTATTTAATCTAAAATTCAAAAGACATTTTTTTTTTTTTTTAAATTCTCTGGCTTCTTAAATTTCTTTCATTTTAGCTTGTGCCTCAGCCTGTTTGGACGTAAAGAGCTGTCAGCTACCATGTCAGTGAGCCACCTTCTTGGTTCATTTTGCTACCTTGAGCATCAGCAGTTGATAATGACCTAATATGTGCATAGCTTTGTTTTACGTCCTTGAGGTTAGAGTTCAATGGAGTCGGCAAAAAAAAAAAATACAAATGTTTCTTTTTTCAAGATTGAGCTGTGATTGAATTTCACTGGTTTACTGGTAAATGGAATACATTGTGACATCTTAAGATATGTTAGTTTATTTAAGATTACACTAATGTATCTTCAGTGACTATTTTGTCTACAAATTGAAATATCTATGGCTGCAATTAGTATACAGTCTTCTTGAATATTCCTTGCCTTCATTTAAGTATAAACATTACGTTTACTTCTCTTCAAAGAATACTATATTACAAGGAATACTATACTACTGTCATCCTAAAGAAATCCTTACTGTGAAAAAAGTTAAAATCCTGATTTATATTTTATAGAAATTAACATCAAAACAGAATGCTTTCTTCAACTTAGATCATAGTTACTGAAATTTATTTGTGTTAATGTTTTTACTCTGTGACTTGGCTTTGTTTTAGTACTTGCTTTGTGTAGAATTCTGTTGAGATTGGTGTGTACTTTGGGTCCTGGCCCATAAGATCATCTGTGTTTTAGCCTACTATATAGAGAATGCATGTAATTCAAATACAGTGCAATTTCAGCAAATATTTGTTAATATACACAGTTTGTCAGATACTAAGTATGAGGATACTGCAGTTAAACAACAACAACAACAACCCAACAACAACAGATTAAAACTCCCTGCCTACATGGAGCTTATATTGTGATGGGGTTGGGAAACATAATAAATAAGTATATAATATATTAGATGGTGATGAGTGCTTCGAAGAAAAGTAAATGCAGTATTAAAGAAGAATTTTGAGTGGTTGCGAGTTGGAAGAGGGAAGTGTTAAAATTTTAAATAGTGTGGCCAAGAAAGGTTTCATTGAAGAAGTGACATTTGAGTAAAAATCTGAAGAGATGATCTGACGTTCTGTTTTTTCAACATAAAATATGTTTATTTTAACGGGAAAGAATGTTCCATGTGGAAGGAATTACACGTGCCTTTTTCAGAGGTTCAGTTTCTTCAATTTGTTGGAACTGTTACAGTTAGATGGGTATCATTGTAGTTTCATTCAGGCTGAAATTAGTATATAGTCCTTTTGCACAGTCCTTTGCCTTCATTTAAGTGTAAGCAGTCTTTTCGTTTTGACAGAATGTCCAGCAAGGAAGTAAAGACTGCTCTGAAAAGTGCTAGAGATGCGATCAGAAACAAAGAATACAAGGAAGCTTTGAAACATTGTAAGGTAATTAATTTTTTTTTTTCCTTCCACAATAGAAATGTTCACATCTGGCAGCATCACTGATTTGTAATATGTGAATCATTGCTGTCTAAATACAAAAGTGGTCAGCCCTTCTAGTAGAACCATTAGTGTGCTTGGGCCCGGATAAGCTACTTTTGCCACTTAACTAACTTGATCTTTCTCTGTATTGGTAACTTATCAAAGGCACGTTCCCAAAACCTGAATGTCTCTTAGCTGTCTTTTGATGGGTTGTACTGTGGAACACTATTGCATCTTAAAGTTTTCCTTCTTTAATGGCATGTTGGCGGGAGAATCAGCTTGGTGTGTGGTTGTGAGCATTAAGATTCTAAAGCTCCTTTCTGTGCTGATGGAAACGTTTGAGTCCAGGAGGAGGAGCTGAAGGTGCAGGAGAGATGCAGGCAGGTAGCAGGAGTGCAGTCCCTGGGAGGTGAGTGAGGGTGGGATTTTAGGGCCGTTGACACCTCTGTCTAAACAGGGGGGAAGACAGTTGCAGATCGATAGCCATCAGGTTTGTAGATTGGGGGGTGGTGGTGGGGAGATAAACGTCCCCCTCCGATGGCTCCTGTCTTCTTAGGTATAAGCTGAGGCTGAAAGAGAAGTTGTGTAGGAGGTTTGAGACAAGAGAAGGTACGATACAGTTGTCATTTGCCATGAGAGAAGAAATTTATTAGTAAGGATTAGCAGGATTACCAGACTAATGAATGTCCTTTTGAAATTTCATGTTATTAAAGTGAAATTGGTGTACTGAGCTATGTAGTTTCTTCCTTTGTGTTACCCTTCTCAGGCTTGGAGATGGACATGATGAATTCTATATATAGGTAGTAAGAAAGTTGAGGGGAAAGAGAGGCAAAGGGTGGAGGATGTCTGCAAGGGAGTGATGACAGTGATGGGCAGTACAGTGTGAGCTGGGACATGAGAGGTGAGAACTGAGAAGTAGGGTGATTGTTGGAAGGAGGGGACGTTAAAAAAAAAAGTTGGTCATTCTAGAGGTTAGAGAATTGTTACCATTACAGTAATTGAACTGGGAAGATGGGAGGGGTACACGCTGGAAACCCAGGTTTGGATGGCTGAGTACTGAGGCTAAGTAACTGAGAGGCCTTGACATTCATTGAGTCATCTGCATGACTGATAGAACGATTACTGGAATTGAAGTGGAGAGGAGGGATTACCCTATTTTCACTGAAGGAAAGAGGATACCTAGAAGGTTGGTAGATGGTAGCAACAAGAAGGATATTTTCTAGAGTATAGCTGTTGGTTTGATCTTCAAAGGTCCTGGGATTTTTGAAGGAAGAGGGGAGCAGAAGAAGAATATATTACAGGTGACAAGTGTGAGCAACGGAAACCCTTGTCTTATCTCCTGGCCTATGATATGTGGGATGTACGTGAAAAGAAATCAGCTGCAGCATGTAAGATCTATAGGGCCGAAGCCCAGTTTCATTGAAACAGAATTTGGTGCAGTTCAAAGCAAGATTGAACGTAGGGACCTCAGCTGTTCGTATTGGGAGTTTCAGCGATTGCACTGAAGAGTTCAGGACGGGGAACATATGGAAATCCATGGCTTAGTCATGTCAGTGTATGGCAAAAACCACTACAATATTGTCAAGTAATTCGCCTCCAACTAATAAAAATAAATGGAAAAATAGAAAAAGAGTTCAGGACAGTGGGAGGGAGAGAAATGAGTTAGCCTGGGGGAAATAGATAGCAATATAGAATGAGAGTCTAAAGGGATGAAGAATGCCCTTGAGAGGTTAGGTTTCTAGTGAGCCCAGCAGGGGTGGAGGTCATGGCAGAACTAACCCTCATATTGAAGAAGGTGGACGGGCTGTTCAGACTCAAAATAAGAAGGAGGAGGTGGCGGGGGGCTGGGAGGGGTTGTTTCCTTCAGCACTAGACTGATCTAACACAGGTGTGAATCTGTCTGTTAATATATACAGAAGTACCACAGCTGCCTTCTTTCTGATTCCCATATGAATTCCACCAAGCAGTTTATAATTTATACCAGAGCCTCAGCTGGAAAGCCAAAGATGGGGAACTAGTCAGTGGCAAATGTGTGATGACTTAACGTGTAGTAACCTAGAAAGTTGAAATTTTAAGAGAAGTCGCCCCTTAGTCTATTTGCTGTGTTTGGTCTGATTCATCACCTCCTCTGCTGGTGCTCCTGTAACTCAGGAGAAGCATGCCTTTAGGCAGCCTTGTCTGCCTTGTGCGGATGGGTTTGGAGTCAGGTACTTTTTTCCTCATCTCAGAATTCCATACCTGCTTTCACTGCACTGTTATAATTCTTTCCTTAGAAAGTCTGTTTCCGATCTTGAAAAACCCGGTGATTAGGCAGACAGCAGGTCCTTACTGACTGGGTTGACTATGGCATTTGTCATTTGCTTCACAGTTGTATGCCAGTTGTTGACCTTGGTGTTGGGAACATGAATGTTTAATATGACTTCAGTGTTTGGAGCTTAGCTTTGGTGCTTATCTCATTGGTGCTGGTTTTTTGGGAGGTAGCATTATGAGAGAGAAGGGAGCTTGTGCTGTATACTGGGGACATTGCTAGAAGTGTCATATGGTTGCACATAAGACTAATAATCTGCCTGCTTTAACTCAGAAGTGTTCCTCTTTTCTCTAGAGTATGTAAAACCTTAAGAGCTAATTTCATTTTAGCTAGTAGTTTTGTGTTCCTTTCACTGGAACATCTTTGCTTTCTATTTCAAACTGTTTTACCTTAGCAAATAGTTGTTACTTCTGTAAGGAGTAACTCTGTATATAATTTTTGTTCTAGTTGAGAGGTGTTGTTTAAACATTCATTGCCAATATTACTTTTGAACATATTTGGTGCAGTCACGTTGGAGTCAAAATACTTTCCTAGCATATAATATCAATGAAAATATCTATCTGTTTAATATGGGGAGATGCTATTGTAGGGAAGGAAAATACGGGAGTTGGAAAAGGTGAAACAATATGGAAAATAATTTTGTAAGTGACTGGTAGCAGTGTGTTGTGGAGGGTGGTAAGAATAGTCTTAACTGTGCTTTTTTATACTTAGTGTTATTCTCAAGGGGCAGAGGGAGGCACTTGGCTGAGGCATGAGGATTACTTGGGCATCTTTGTGAAACATGCCTCGTATTTCAGGCCCCCCGCAGTCACTGGTTCAGTCCAACTCCCCCTCCCGTTGAGGAAACTGGGGAGTGGTTAAGTGGTATTCTGAAGATCATCCAGTTAGTGGTGGATCCAGATGTCCTGACTGTTAGGTAGACTGTCTTTGATTATTCTTTGTCCATGAGCTTCCAAAACATAACGACCATCTCCTTTAATTTTTTCAACCAGACAGTGTTAAAACAAGAGAAGAATAACTATAATGCCTGGGTTTTTATTGGCGTTGCTGCAGCCGAGCTGGAACAGCCTGATCAGGCCCAGGGTGCCTACAGGAAAGCTGCTGAATTAGAGCCAGACCAGCTGCTAGCTTGGCAGGTATGTAGACTTTTTTTTTTTAACTATGTTATAGGAAAGAACTTTTTTCAAAATACAGGTGACAGCTTTACAATAAGCACTTAGATCTCCATTTACCCAGTATAAGAGAGAAGAAATTAAATTTATTGATCCAGTAAACTTGAAAGTTAGTTGGTGCCAAGGATGCTGTTTGCTACTGTTTAACGTCTAATCCAAAGGATTATTTCCCAATGTTAGGACAGAAATTGAAACATGATTATATAAATCTCCAATTTAATTATGTATACATATGAGAGACTTATCAAGAATATTCTTTATGCTTATCTGAGGGAAAAGATGGTATATTAATGTGTTTTTAAAAAAATAATATGAAAAAATTTGAAATTCTGTATCTATGAATATGAGTTACATTCTTTTTTCTTATTTAATGGTCTCTGTTTTTTACTTGGCTTCTCCAGCTTTTTCATGTTTAATGACTTTGTTTCGTATCTCAATCACATCTTAGAAACTGTGATTAATAGGAGGTAGAAGACTCTAGAGAACATGAACCTGTTTGTCTCAGGTTCACATGAACAAGAACATGAGTAGGTTATCTGGTAACATCTCTCTGATGCCAGCTTTTATTGTGTACTCTTTGGTTTAGGATATCTATCTTTATTTGAAGCAAAAATGGTAGTTTCCAAAGAGTACTTGGATTTCTTTCTTTTGACCATGTGAAAATAGTGTGTGGTAACATCTTGGGGGTTAAAATTGCATAGTAATTATTAAAAAATTATTTTTTATTGTGAAATATATTTTCAGAAGTAAAGAGAATGATGACATGAACCACTCTATGCCCATCATCCAGTTTCAATAAAAACCTACTCACGGCCAGTGTTTTTTCATGTGTACTTTCACCCACTCCCTCCTCCCTCCAATTATTTGGAGGCAAATCCCAGGCGTTTTATTTCATCTGTAAACTATAATAATCTCTACCATAAATAGTCTTTGCAGATTGTCACTTTACTTAGCAAAATAAGTGTGAGCACGCTGGGTGCCTTGGGAAGACTAACCGCTGCTGTTTCCTCTCTTAGGGGTTAGCGAGCTTGTATGAGAAATGCAACCACATCAGTGCTAAGGATGACTTGCCTGGAGTTTACCAGAAGCTCCTGGATCTGTATGAAAGGTGATCAATGTGTGGGCAAAGGCTCATTCCTTTAAAGGCTTGAAGCAGAAGAAACTGATTAAAATCAGTTAGAAGCACTCCAGACATTTACTGGGAATTGGAAGTCATTTTTCTTTTAACCTGTTGTTGCAGAATCTCTTAATTGTGATTGAAACAGCAATAGTAGGGGTTGACTTATTTGAGAACTTTGATGTTATTTTTAGTCAATAATGTTTCTTAAACCTTTCTTTTTTATGAGGGGCTCATTTTATGAAATTTCGCTGTAGTGTAGTAGAGGATATGTTCCAGTGCCTAGTATTATTTTGGGGATATTTTAATTTTTTTTGTTTTAAGTCTTCAGTTTTTTCCATTAATCAGATTCAAAATCCTTTTTTTCTGTTCCAAGTGTTGACAAACAGAAGTGGTGTGATGTCTGTAAGAAACTGGTGGATCTGTATTACCAAGAAAAGAAACACGTAGAGGTCGGTTAATGATTTGCTTGGGTAGTAAATTTCTTTTAATAAAACCATTACTAAATGGGAGCTGTCATTTAGCTTAAGGAAACATTAAAAAAATTAACATATGGTACAGCATCAAAACAAATGAGAGTGCTTTGAAAACTAACTTGGAATTCAGGTATCAGGATTTCCAAACTTTTTCAAAACCAGGCAGGGATAAATAAAATAAGTAAAAGTGCATCATCTGTAGGATTTAGTGTCCCACTGCTGATGCTTTAAGTTATGAGGACTGGGGCATGCAGTCATTCCTGTATATACTCTGGTGTTTCAGTTGTACTTCTAATATAAGGACTATGTGGGTTTGCCCAATCATCCTGTTTTTTCATGGAATTCATAATAGATGGAGCTCTCTGCTTTTGCAATTTTTATGTATTAGTAAATAAAAATGCTTAAATTTTAGATTTAAATGTTTTTAATGGCATTTTGCTATTTTAGATATAGTAACCATTTTAAATCTCCCTGGTAGGTGGCCCGGACATGGCACAAATTGATAAAGACACGACAGGAAGAAGGTGCAGACAGCCAGGAGCTTCATCAGCTGTGGAGGAAGTTGACTCAGTTGCTGGCTGAGTGCACTGAGGATCAGAATAATGAGACCCAGCAACTGGTACTAAGCCATTTACTCCCCACAGTTTGTGTCATGAAAATCGATCATTCAGTTGAATTTAGAAAATGGAAACATGATATAATATAGAAAAACACTGTATGTCAGACTAGACATCTTAAATTCATAGAGGCTCTTCCTGATAAAGTCAGAATTATAGGCCTGCAGTTTCAAATTAAGTCTGAACAGAGTGGAAATGGTATTCAGGGTATCAAAATTTTATGTCCTTGTATTCACAAGAATTCACACTTTATCAGTTACTTAATAACTGTGAAAAAGAAACTATGAAATTGACTTTTACAAAACTGCTGTTTCTAAAAAGTTGTACCTTAAAGGTATGTTTTCTTCGTATTTCTGAACTAAGAGTACCAAATTGCTTTCAGGTTTAAAAATTAGAGTGTTTTATTTACTTATATATTTAATTTTTACTGAAGTATTATTAGTTGACAGTGTTGTGTTAGTTTTAGGTGTACAGCAGCGTGAATCAGTTATTCATAGACAGGTATCTACTCTTTTTAGATTCTTTTCCCGCACAGGTCGTTAAAGAGTATGGAGTAGAGTTCCCTGTGCTGTATACAGTCGGTCCTGATTAGTCCTGTGTTTTATATGTGGTACTGTGAGTATGTCAGTCCCAGTTTCCCAATTTATCCCTCCCCTGCTACATTGCCCCCCATAACTGTGAGGTTGTTTTCTGCCTCTGTCTCTCTGTACCGTTTCTTGTAGATTCAGCATGTAAGTGATAACATATGATATTTGTCTTTCTGCGTCTGACTACTCGGTATGGCAATCTTTGGATCCATCCATGTTGTTGCAGATGGGATTATTTCATTCTTTTTTATGGCTGAGTAATATTCCATTGTGTGTATGTACATAACGCATCTTCCTTATCCACTCCTCTGTCAATGGACATTTAGGTTGCTTCTGTGTCTTGGCTGTTGTAAATAGTGCTGTATTGAGCATTGGGGTGCACGTGTCTTTTTGAATCATGTTTTTCTCCAGGCATATGCCCAGGAGTGGGATTGCTGGATTGCCTTAGTTCTGTATTTGTTTTTTAAGGAACCTGCATGCTGTTTTCCACATGGTTGCACCATTTTGCATTCCCACCAACAGTGAGGAGGCTTTCTCTTCCTCCACACATCTCCAGCGTTTATTGTTTGTGGTCTTTTAGATGATGGCTGTTGTGACTGGTGTGAGGTGATGCCTCACTGTAGTTTTGATCTACAGTTTTCTAATAATTAGTGATGTTGAACATCTTTTCATGTGCCTCTTGGCCATCTTGTTTGTATGTCTTCTTTGGAGAAATGTCTGTTTAGATCTTGCACTCAGTTTTTTCTGGGGTTATTTGTTTTTTTCTGTTGTTGTTGTTATTGAGCTGCATGAAGTGTTTGTATTAAATGTATTTTGGAGATTAATCCCTTGTCAGTCATAGACTATTATATTTAGACTGTTTATATTTGGTATTTAGATTACTTATTCCTAGCAATATTCCTCTTTAAACTGCAGCTTTTCAAGTAATTGAAAACAATTTTTAAAAGACTATAAAACAACCATTGGTTTTGAACTGTAAATGAAAAATATTTTCCTCATTCTATTTTTTATAAGTTTAAAGGTAAATTTAATTTCTTATTATAGTAAATAAGCACTCAATGTATACTTGTTAAATTGAATAGAATTTTAAAATGTTAACAATTATAGATTCTACATAAGATTGGAAGCCCATTTCTTTGTATGTTTCTTCTTTTGTTCACTCACTCATTTGTTCCTTTAAATCAGAAAGTATTTATGGGGAAACTACTACTTTATGTCAGGCAGTGTCCTAAGTGCTAGCAATGAAAATATGAGAATAAGATTTTAATTCATTTGTATATTGGAGAGTAATCCTTTGTCAGTTGTTGTTTCATTTGCTATTATTTTCTCCAATTCTGAGGGTTGTCTTTTCACCTTGTTTATAGTTTGCTTTGCTGTGCAAAAGCTTTTAAGTTTAATTAAGTCCCATTTGTTTATTTTTGTTTTATTTCCATTACTCTAGGAGTTGGGTCATAAAGTATTTTGCTGTGATTTATGTCAGAGAGTCTTCTGCCTATGCTTTCCTCTAAGAGTTTATAGTTTCTGGTCTTACATTAAGGTCTTTAACCCCTTTTGAGTTTATTTTTGTATATGGTGTAGGAAGTACTCTAATTTCATTATTTTGTGCATAGCTGTCCAGATTTCCCAGCACCACTTGTTGAAGGGACTATCTTATCTCCACTGTATATATTGATTTATTGGTGTATAGATTCACTTGTAGAAAGAAATTGAATGGTGACAAAATTAGGTGATTTATTGATTGCTCTTAAACCATGTCTTCATATTTGACTTCATTATTTCTTTAAAATAGTGTAGGTTACCAGAGTATCAGAGACATGCTGAAGTAAGTAAAATTTAAAAAAAAAAATCCATATTGTACTCTTCCGTGAAAGAGAACTAATTATACTTATCATTTTAAGAATTTCTAACTGTTAAAAATGAGATAAAAGTATTGGGCGGGGGACAGTTATTTTCACCCTGAATGCTAGTGATACTCTGCTTTATTTGTGTTCAGAAAAAATATTTGTCATGTATTTTACATGTGTATTAATTTCTTCACTGTGTTTTTGAACTTGTGTGTGCTAGACTTTTTTAGGCTTTTTATTCTTTCTTTAAGATCATTAACTTTATCAGAGCAGTAACATTTTACTTATTTATATAGACTTTATATCATGCTTTACAAAGAGAATTTGAGATGGTGAACTGTATTGTGAATTTTCATTATACAGTCATGGAAATTCATTTTGAAAAATGCAGAACTTATGTAACCAAATGAATGATACTCTTTAAAAGTGCTTGCCTTGGATTCAGGTATTGCTGTTTTTGCTGAGGAAACATTTAGAAGGCTTCTTTTGGAATTTTCTTCAAAGTCAGTGAATAATACTGTATAAAAGAAGTGATCTCATTATAGTTCAGTTGTGTCTCTGATTTTCTTTTACCAAAAGTATGACTTCATAAAAATTGTTTTTTGAGATTCAAAATTTGCTATTATGAAGATGTTCCAAAGACTGTACTGGTAATTTCAGAAGAGTTGTCTTAAAAGTGATCTGAGCAGTAGAAGCTACGCTGACATATGAGACTATACCTCTCAGCTACTTAGTAGAGAGCAGCAGGCATTTATGAGAATGTTTCATTAATGCTGTTAAGCAATTTATAATTGCCCCTTACTAGTTCAATGCAGTCTGCTGGCCAGTTGGATTTGGAATGTATTCCAGGCTTAATTATACATTTTTTCCCCTCATCAAAATTGTCAGGGCCAGACAATAAACATATTTGCAGTTACTAGGTGAGGGTGTCCTTTGTATAAGTGAGTCTTCTGTGTTCAACTGTTTGTTACATTTGTCACTTAAGTAAACTACAGATGATAGCCTTTTTGTTTCTTTGTTTCAGCTTTTAACTGCTTTTGAGAATGCACTGGGCTTATCAGATAAGATTCCTAGTGAAGATCACCAAGTGCTTTATAAACATTTCATTCAGTGTTTATCCAAAGTAAGTTGATTTTTAAAATCTCTGACATGACTTTTCTATTCTAATTAGGAAAGTACTCATAAATATATTTTGCTGCTACTCAGTTTACTTTACTTTTTTTATTTTCAAGTTTCCCAATGAGACTGCTAGGTTGAAGAAAGCCTGTGAAGGAATGATAAACGTCTATCCCACTGTACAGTATCCATTAGAAGTGCTTTGTTTACATTTAATTGAATCAGGTAATTTCTTCTTTATTATATTGTGTCACCTAGAGATGTGAGAGTAATGTTGCTGTCAATCAAAAATTGCTTTGTTGTCTGTCGTGTGTAAAGTATTGTTTCAGTATTTCTGGACATGAGAGGAAGTGTAATACATAGTCTTTATGTACATGAAAAGGCTAAGAAATACAGGAAAGTACAGTGACACAGGGAATTGTGAGCCACTAAGTTCATTGTTGATTAGTAAGGTCTTTTGGGAGGTGAGAATTGGAGAAGGTCTTGAATTTTCCGTAGAAATTAGACGGACAGGAGGAGGTGAAATATACTCCCCATGGCATGAGCAGAGGTATGGAGCTAGGTGCAGTTTGGCGGAAGCGTAGTTTTATTTGCTGTGGTAGAAAGACTAACTAAGATCTGTTTTGGTTAAGTAGCTTAGACTATTACACAGGGATAAGAATGTCCTGCAGAAGATTTTGTTAATGAGAAGTATTGCCAGTGTTGATGGTATGTCATATGTCAGTGTCACACAAGTACATTGTTAAATGTGATAAAGTAATGAAGTTTGTGAATGATCTGCTCTGTCAATAAAACTGAGCAGAATTCAAGTCAGAGAGTGTGTCTTAGTGTGTGCTGCATGCCCTTGCTTCGTTGTGTACTTTATTTGGGGGAAGAGAGAGAGGTGATGACAGCTAGCCTGCTGGGAGTTGCCACAGCTTGAAGCTGTAGATGTCTTGTGCCTGTCATTTTACAGGATGTTGACTATATTGGTCTTCACAGTAGCTGCTGTCCTTTTTTGCCAGGGTCTGTGCTGAATGGGTACTTTAAAAATAGAATATCACCCCTGTCCACATCTGTATTCACCTGATACAAATAAAGATCATCAAAGTCAGTCATTGGGATGGAATTAACAGTACCAGCACCAGTGTGGTAGTGATTGGGAGTTAGTGCAGAGCTTCCCTAAGCTAAGTTTTTTCACATTGTTGCTAAATGAGTATACACTTAGGAATGCGTTGTATGTTACTGACCATCACATGTTCCACAATTGAAAAATGGCTGAAAACTACCGCTAAAGGTAATTCGGGAAGATTCCCATTACAGAAATCTCATTACACCTCTCTTGACTTCCTGCTCTGACTTCCCCTTATAAGTGCCACTTGTACTTTCTCCCCCTTGTGTCTGAGTTGAAGTCCTGAACTCTTACCTTCAGTCTTTGATTTTTTATGGTGAGAAGTAAATGGATCCCCTTTTCCTTACCTTAACTGAGTCCAAGATAGACATGGAAGAGCACTTTCCTCTAGCATGAGAAAAGCAAACATTGTTAAATGTTGTGCATGCTCAGTTGTGGCCGACTCTTTGTGACACCATGGATGGTAGCTCACCAGACTCCTCTGTCCGTGGAATTTTTCAGGTGAGAATACTGGAGTGGGTTGCCATTTCCTCCTCTAGGGGATCTTCCTGACCCAGGGATCGAACCTGCATGTCTTGCATCTCTTCATTGGCAGGCGAATTCTTTACTGCTAGTGCCACCTGGAAAGCACAGAAGTGTTGTAGTGAGTAGCTGTATGAAGTTGAAGTCTTTACCATGGTGTGCAGGATCTGCTGTACAGAAGATAGTCTAGACTGGAGAGAATAAGTGAAGCTAAGAACGAATTAACTAGGAATGAATGAACTGGGAATATGATAGCAACTGAAAGTAACAGGTGAATGAAAAAAATAGAAGAGATTTTTTAGAGGTGAAGGGAGGGAGAAATCAATTATAATTTTCGGCTCTTCTGAAAAGTTGCACTAATATGGAATGATGGTTTGTACAAAAGTAAGTTGATGAGAGGAGGGGTTAACGGGCGTTCAGAGGGGAATGCTCATCAGGGTTTGCCCATGAGAGATCAGTACAAAGGCTAGTTTGAAGGCTTGGACACCATTTGCATGTACATGAAAGGGAATGGAGTGGATGACTTCAGAGGCTGCCTGAAGGCAGAAAGGTGTAAACTGCGCCTTGTATAGAAAGGGAGGAAGAAGGGAAAGAAGGACATGGAGGACAGAGAAGTGAAGAGGTCAGAGAGGAAGGTGGGGGACCTCGATAAAAAGCAGCCCAGAAGGCAAGGAAGGCATTTCAGAAGGGAGACCTGTCTTGAGAGATAGAGCAACTAGTTTTATTAAGAGGCCTTTAGTAGGGCTGTCTTTTTTAATCAAAGTGAGTGAATTGAAACTTAGAATACATGATGGGAAAAGAGTAGGAAGAGTGGTGAGCAGGTATAAAGAGAAGCAGTCCAGGGACAGACTGACTTCATTTAAGGGAGGGGAGGAGGAAGTGTGAGAAGGGGATAATAGACTTTTAGAGGAGAAGGGGAATTGCAGTGGTGTCACCTGGAAGGAGAGTTTCAAGAAGAAAGAGCTAGTTAATGTCGTGGATGTTGCCTTGAGGTCGAGGAGGATGCCTGCTGAGAGACTTTCAGTACAAGAAGCATGCTTAGAGAGTGTGTGTGGTTTTTTGTTTTGTTTTGTTTTCCTCTAATAGGAAGCATAGTTCTAAATCACCCAGTTTCTTCAAATTTTAACTTGAGGCCAGTGTGTTCCCAAGATAAGTGGACTGGTTTTCTTTCTTGTGTAGCCTCTGGTGTCCATCTCTCCAGCCATTTTCCTGCAATTACAATTGTGATTGATAAATTCATGGCTGGAGTTCACCCTTTTGTTTCTGTTGCTGTTCGGCTATTAATGGCTTATGCCATTCCCTCATTCTTGGCGTGCTTATGTGAAGATACTCTGATATTTCTTTTTGAAGACTGATTAAATGCTTTCTCAATAGGCACATATAACCCTCTAATGTCGATTTGTCGAGTAAATATGCCTTCATATCCCCGAAAGCCAAAATTGTAGAAGTAGGATCAACAGGTAGTTTGCATGTAAAGCAATTATCCTTCAATTAAAATGAACTAAAAAACAAACAAATTTAAAAAAAAGTAGTCTGCAGACTTTTGCCTGTAAATTCAATACCTGACAAAGTGTTTTAGTAAAGAGATAGCAAAGGAGTTGTGCTGTTTGATTAGAGAGGGTGTTGGTTTATGTGAAAAAAAAAAAAAAGATTCTCAAAGAGGTTTTGAGGATGGGTAATTTGCAGAATTGAAAGAGAGATCTATACCCTGGCAAAGGGGATGGGTCGGTGGATGTTTACCCACGTGGGACAGCTGCTTGTGCTGCTGGAATGTTGGTTGTGGGGGTCTGCGGACTGGAGCAGTGCAGACTTGCACGCGTTAGGTCCAGGAAGTGCAGCACTATTCTGGGGTGAGAGCTCAATAGTTAAGGCAGGACAGTAGGAAGCTGTGCTTAATGGTTTCTTTCTTTCTTTTTCATATTTTCATTGCTCCTTGAAGCCAAACTTCTGTATATTAAGAACTTTTGAAAATCTGGAAGTCCTCCTAAAGGCTGATCCATCCTCCCCCAGAGTACTTCAGTGCCTGCAGAATTTGCTACTTCACAGCAGTTAATCACTGGGTTCTTTTCCACTGAGGACAAATAGATTCCATTCTCTTTTGTCCTCCTTTGCATGTCGAGGCTTGAAGATGTGTTTTCAAAATGACTCTGTTTATAAAGCTTCACATAACAAGTAGTGAATAGGTTTCACAGGCGTCATCTGATGAAATGTTATTTCATGCTAAATGACCTTTTTTGATTGATTTTGTTTTGCTTTATTGCTGAAATGCGTGAAGATAAGAAAGATTTGGTTCTTCAAACAGAAGAGTTTAAGATTTTGTGTTCTAGAAATATTAGAAAATCCAGGTGGAAATAGAGAAATTAGCACATGCTGTTTTTCTCGCTCCCAGGCTAGGTTATTTTTAAAAAGTTCTATGGCACTGATGGATTCTTTGGGATGTCAGAAATAAAGTAGTTATTAAAAAAAACCTCTTGCCTTTTTTTGTGATAGACTTTAGGAAACAGAATTCTTATAGCTATTACTTAGCACCTGCTCTGAACGTTTTCAGAACATCTTTTATCAGCTCCATGTCTAGCTTGCCCTGTTTATTTTTTTATTTGGCTGTGTGGGGTTTTTGTTGCAATGTAAGGGATCTTTAGTTGTGGCATGTGGGATCTAGTTCCCTGATCAGGGATCGAACCCAGGTCACCTGCACTGGGGGCATGGAGTCCTAACCACTGGACCACTAGGGGAGTCCCTCTTGCTTGCCTTGTTGATAAATAAAGGTAATATTGCCAAACTGTTTTAAAGACACTGAATCTGGAATCTTAGAATCTTTTAAATGTTAAAAAGAGCAGGTAAGTTAAATAAATGATTTTTTATTCAGATTAATGAAGTCTGTCCTCTCTGGTTTTGTCTTCAACATTTGTTTAGGTAGTATTTTCAGTAATAATTAGTATGGAGAAGTGGATTGAGAGTTGAAGCTGAAATATTCCTTGTCTCTTTACATAGGATCACTAGTGTTGTTATTACTGTTGATGGTTTTTGTGAACACTGTAGAGAAGTCCTCTAAGTGCCACTTGATCACATGTAGAAAGTATGTTCTTAAGGGCTTGACATGAATATAGTTTCCTCAAATCTCATTTTGTTTCTGTAATTGTGCTCCCAGATGTTAACAAAGGGAATACGTTAGAAAAATTTACCTTGTTTTAAAGGTTTTCATGTTGTTCCTGGACCTTTTGGAAACTGTTTTCATCTGCTAGTCACACTTGGCTCATGTGTGTGCAGTTTTTTGGGTTTTTTTTGCCCCCTGAGCCCTATTTTATTTTATTTTATTATTTTACTTTTTATTTATTTATTTATTTATTTTTCCATTTATTTTTATTAGTTGGAGGCTAATTACTTTACATCATTGCAGTGGTTTTTGTCACACATTGAAATGAATTAGCCATGGATTTACATATATTCCCCATCCCGGTCCCCCCTCCCACCTGCAGTTTTTAATTTACCCTAAATGTGGATGATCGTTGGAAGGATGCCTGACTGGCTTGTCTTTTCATCCTAGGTGTGTTTTCTGTAATCAGGGCAGTTTTAATAGCCAGGATAGCCTGTCACGAATTGTGTTCTTATGGAGTAAGAGAGTTTTGACTCAGTTGAGTAGAAATTGAAGATAAAATTTTAGTAGCCAGTTTCTTTTCTTTTTTAGAATGGTGACTGTTTTTAATTTTCCATAGTAATTCTCAGCCATTTACCTATTCATAGACTCAGCGTTCTGGGGCATCTGTAACAGTGTTAATTTTTTGAGAGGTTTCTATTTTAGCTGTGCTGGGTTTTCGCTGCCGTGTGGGCTCGTCTCTGGTTGCAGCGGGTGGGGACCGCTTGGCGGCCGCGGTGTGAGGGCCTCTCGTGGTGGCAGCATCTCCTGTTGCGGAGCATGGGCCCCAGGACACCTGGCTGCAGCAGCTGTGGCTTGTGGGCTTAGAGGTTGCATCTCCCGGGCTCTAGAGGCTCAGTAGTTGGGACTCTTGGGCCCCGTTGCTCCGCGGCACGGGGGATCTTCCAGCCTGAGGACTGAACTCCTCTCTCCAGCACCGGCAGGTGGAGTCCTCACCGCTGAGCCCCTAGTAAAGCCCCATAATGGTATTTTAGAAAGATCATTACAGTGTTCAATGAGTGTCTGCCATGTGCAAGATACTATACTCGTCCCTATCTTTCAGAAATGACTGTTCAGCTACAGAGACAGCAAAGGCAGGGTACACCTGTCATAAAGCTAATAATACAGTTGACATATGGTACTGGCAAATACTGTATACTGGTGGTTCTTAAAGTATGATCTTCGGACCAGGAGTATCAGTATCACCTGACAGCTTGTTTGAAATGCAGATTCTCAGATTGAATAGCAGACCTACTGAATCAGAAACTTTGAGAGTGGAGCTCAGCATTTTTGGTTTTAAAAAGTCCTCCTGGTTCTTCTGATATCTAGTTTAGACAATACCAGTGGATAAAATAGAGGGGGGACCCCAGTGGTTTGCTTTTGGAGGATGTAGGGTTTGTGAAACTAGGCATGTCTATTCTTGGAATTCATATTTATAGAAGTGATAGAACATGTTGACAGAAGGGGAATTCTTGTCTAGAAGCAGGCTTCTTTTTTCTGACTTATTAACCGAAGTAATATTTCTTCCAGTTGATTCTCACATTTCACCAAACAACATTGAAGTTTTAATTCTTTAGCCATTATGAATTCTGTGAATCTTTGGTGCTAACGTGGACTTCTAAGTTAATATGTAAAATATTATTTAGGGATTATGCATTGTTGTATGTTTGCTTTTAAAAATTTTGTGTAAATATGTAAGCTAAATGGTATCATGCAAAGAATTCACCTTTAATATCTGTTGCTGAAACAGTGGTTCCATATGGGGTTTGTGACTGTCTGTTTTACATAGATACATAAGCATCAGGTCTTTTTTCAGTTAAGCTGTTTTTATGTATTCCCTTGTTTATTGCTTCAAGTTGTAAATTACTGCCTAAATTACTTTTTAAGAATTTTCTTATGTGATTAAACAATTTATTAAAGTGGTGAATGGTATTCACAATTTATTCTCAAAACAGAAGCCATCTTTTCCACCTGTTTTTCTGCTTTTCTGGGAACCGGAATCTTGAGATTGATTGTGATTGGAGAAAATGGAAATATGACAGAACCTGCAATGTTTTCTAAGCAAATTTTTTTACCAAAATAAATTCAAAATGCAGACATTGAATGATTACTACGTAAGCTTAACTGTTAACTTACATATGAAAAGGAAGTTTTGAAAGAATGCAAAAATGTAGTGTTGAACTTGTAAGCCTGAGAAGAATGTGACTCAGTCTTTGTACTGGGTACCGTGTGCTGGACGAGCTTGCTGCATCTGACACCTTGGGCGTCATGTCTGTGGCAGCACATTGTCCAGGGAGAAATTAGTGAAGATTCTGTCCTTTGACAAGAATTCCTTCATCTAATAACCAAAATTGTTACTGCTGAATAGAAAAGGGAGACCTGGTGGCAGGTGGCTGAGTCTTAGCATTATGACAAGTGGTGGCTGAGTCTTAGCATTATGACAAGTAGCCGTAGGTTTCTTGTTTGAAACCCTTGAGTATGACAGCAGGTTTGGTTTACTGATACTGCTGTGAATAAAGTGGTTTCTACGTGTGATATTTAAGAAGAAGAAGGAACATGATTTTTTAAAAATGAAATGTTAATATTTTCTAGACTTGTTGATCTATTTAAGTTTTGAATTCCTGGAATCAGAATGTGGAGATGTATGTAGAAGCCAGCTTTTGAGATTTAAGGTTTCAAAAACTTAAAAAGATTTATGGTGCGTAGGTTTTGGCACATATTGGTATATGTATGCTAATAACTTATTCTTTTAATTCCAGGAAGTCTTACTGACGAGGGAGAACAGTATTGTTGTAGACTAGTGGAAATGGATCCCCAAAGTGGTGCAGGTCTCATTGGTTTAGGCATTAAAGCATTACAAGACAAAAAGTACGAAGATGCTGTTAGGTACTTAACAGAAGGTAAGTGTATGGTGTGCAGCGTATAACATGAGGTATAGGTGTTAGTCAGCAGTTATTTATCTTTGGGCCTTTCTTTAAGGAATATATATATTTAGGATAGAAGCAAAAAAAAATGTACATACATATTCTGGATTCTGCTTAAGTTTGAATTCCAACTCTGCCATTCACAAATTTTAAGACCTTAGGAAAGTCCATTAAGCTCTTTGTGTCTTATTGTTTTTATCTGTAAAATAAACATAATATCTCCATCCTTCAGTTCAGTGCAGTTCATTCGCTCAGTCGACTCTTTGTAACCCCATGAATTGCAGCATGCCAGGCCTCCCTGTCCATCACCAACTCCCAGAGTTTATTCAAACTCATGTCCATCGAGTCGGTGATGCCATTAGGAGGCTTTAATTTAGTCTTACTCAGTATGATGTTTCTGGATGAACTTTCATTCAAATTGAGATCTGAGTGACAAATGGAAAACCTGGCAGTAGGAAGGGTGTTTTAGGCCAAGAGTTGAAATAGCCTGAGGTGAGAGAAGAGCTGGTATTCCTGGAACTCCTGGTCATTCAGTGAGATTTGAAAATGAAGTATGAAAACAACAATTGAGGCTGGAAAGGGGCCTCGCAAACCTCATTAAGGAGTTTGTGTGTTATCCAACTGGGAACCAGTGGAAGTTCTTAAGTATAGGGATTTCATAATCCCATATGTATTTTTAGAAATATTCTGGCTGCAGTGTAGGGAATGAATTTGAGTAGAGGGCAAGCACTTGCCCTGATCTGGGATGGATAATGGAGATCCTAACTGAAGTGATGGGCATGGAATCAGTGTGACTTTGTGACTGGTTAGATATGGGTGACAAGGGAGAGGGGAGGAGACTGATTTGGGGAGTGGGTGGTGGGGTTCTTCACCTCTGTAGTAATGGAAACCTTGGGCTTTGTGATTGCTGTTATCTTCCTAGGGATAAAGGAAAGCCCCCTCTGCACAGCTGGATGGTATCATCTGGCAGAAGCCCAAGTCAGAGTGCATAAACCTAAGGAAGCTGTTCTTTCATGCAATCAAGGTATTCCTGACATCTTTAAGGGTGGCCAACCCTGCTGCTTCTCATCTTAAAGAACGATGGTGGTGCTTTATTTTGTATTCTAAGTTGACAGTTAATTTAAATTTAAATTTTATTGGGGAGGTCAAAAAAAGCCCATCGAGTCTGTATGCATGTCTACTATTATATTTATTTTTACACTGACAGTATTTTTCCAAGGTTACTTGGAATTTTGATAAAGTCAGTTTAGGCTTGTGTGGTGATGCTGTCTCTTTGCAATAGGGACTTTTCTGGTGTGTCCTACAACTTTCACTCCAGGGTAGATTCTTGATTCCTCTCATGCAGATAATAGACAAGGACAGAGGTATCTTAGAGCTTATTTGAATATGTTCACATGGGTCAGGTGTGGGTGTCAGAAATCAGTGAAGCGATTTACTGCTCTTGACCTAGTTGATGACCTTGCTTGTGCAGCTAAGAAATAATTTACCATGGTTCATCCTAATTCAGCTTCTTTACCCTTCCCTTATCTTTAATGGGCTATTTTTGTGATAGATGCTTTGGCTAAGGGTTAACCTCTGTTATGTAGCAGTTATAGACAGCCATTGTTGTGTTTCAGGATGTTCAGTTTTATTATATGTTTTGTGGAGATACAGGTTTTAAATTTTGATCTGTTCTGTTTTAAATTCAGGTATTTTCATAAAGAGTTCAGGGAAGAATTTATATTTAGCTTTGAATTGTTCTTCATGTATATATTTCAACATTTTATTCTTACTATATCTGTAATCTGTTATGTTACCCTTAAAAAGAAAAAAAAATGAAGTGGTTCGGTTGTCGTCATTCAGATGTCCTTCCTTTGTCAGCTCTGAAGAGTATAGATAACCTCGATGTATCTGGTGGCGGGCTGCGTCAGAAGAATCGTTGTCTTCGTTTGAAAGCAGAGGCTTTGATTAAACTCTCAGATTATGAATCTTCAGAGGAAGCAATTCGTACTCTTGATCAGGTAGTCTTATCATCCAATTCTCCCTTTGTTATTAACATTTAGTTTCTGGTCAACCAGGCATCAACCATTCTCTCCTTGCCACAAATAGTTACTTAGAAAAATTTTGTGTTAGAGGTATGAATTCACTAAATCTCCAGTTCTGTAAGTTATTTACATGCTTGGAAACGCCTCAAGTTATGTGTTTGCTTTTTGGTTAAGTGCTTACAATGTTTTTCATATGGTGCAGCTTCTTTCTCATTCTTGCTCTTATTCTCCTTTTCACTTTTTGCCCTCTGGGGTTATCACTATTTGATTATTATTAGTTTGAAATTCTAAATTTTGCCCTTCAGATAATATTTCATAGATTATTGACAAGAATTATTAAAGACACTCACTAGTAGCTTCATGGTGCCTTTAAAGATATTTTTGAGATAAAGGATGTTTTTTTGTAAAATTGAAATTATATCACTCAGTATATTGCAGAGTTTTGAATTTTTATTTAAAAAGTCCTTGTTTTGTATAGTTAAAGGGCTTTGCATTTCATAGTATTTCTTTAACATTCGAACAGCTGTCAGAATCCTTTAAGACGTAGTATCTTATTTTCTTGTTTTCTACTTGTCTTCTTGTCTTCCATCAACAGTGTGTTTTGTGTGAATGCTTTGGAAAGGTCTTTCCATAGTGTTTTGTTGTTTTTTTTTTTTCACAATAAAGAAAAAACGAGTTTCTGGAAGAACTGGTAGAATCCAAGTCTGAGACAGAAAATGAACAAGAAGAGCCCAGAACATCTTATAATGCAGGAAATCAAAGAAACTATAAAAGGCTGTTAGATTTATCTCAGAAGGGTTCAGGAGCTAGCATGAACTGATTTTTGCTGACTAAAGAGGGGATGCTTTGGGAACTAGTAACTGCAGTAGATTAAAAGACATCATTTATATTTAAATCTTTATGTTAATGTTGATACCAAAAAAAATCAATGAAACATCCTCAATAAAGTGAATCTTTGAAGGATGCTAAGGAACCAGTTAGAAAGAAAAAAGTACCCTGTGTGTCCCTTATGAAATGTTCTCAGAATAATCAAAGAGATAATGAGAGGAGGAAAATCTTCTCTTTGTTGAATTAAGCCATTGAGTAAGGAAAGAAGGAATGATAGAATCGGAAAATCACTATTTTGCAGTCTGAAATGGATTAAAACATCATGAGAAAAAAGACAACTAGACATAATCAGGCACAGGTACACAATGAAGTATCCTTGCCAGAGCATCAAACCTAATCAGATCAAACTTTTAGATCTGCTGGTTTATAGAAGATACAGGGGATCAGGTAACACGTCAATACCATGAGAATATATTCATCAAATGCCATACTCTGAGAAACAATGACAGTGGCCTGTATTTTCAATAGTAAGGGAGAAAAAAAGAGATGGAAGAGAACTCTGTAAATTAGAAGAGACTTAGACATATCAACCAGTTGAAATGTATGCACCTTATTTAAATTTGATTAAAACAAATTGTTTAAATATTTTATGAGACAAATGATAAATTTGAACACTGGCTAATTATTTGATGATGTTAAGGATGTATTGTTGGTTTTGCATACATGTTTATGATGATAATATGTTATTAAAAATAAACTTACTTATTAGATATAGATACTGAAGTATCAGGTGAAAATTTATAATTTGGGGGTAATCTAAGCAGGAGTTTGATAAAATGGGTAGACATACAGATGGTAAAGGATTGACTTTGAGTTAATAATTTTGAAACTGAATGATAAGTAGGTATGGGTTTATTATGCTATTCTCTAATTTTCTGATATATTTGAAATTTTCTTTAATGAAAAGATTACAAAGAATGAAAGTGTTAATAGTGATAGAAATCAGGACCTCTATCCGAGTCTTTATACTTTGGTCATTCTTTAGTTAAAGCAAACTCTGCTGCATTGTGTTGTGGGAGATTTACAGCAGTTCTTTAAATTATTTTCTAGGTTTCTGATGCAAATAATATCCCAGGACTTTTGGTTCTCAAAGGCTTGGCCTATCTGAACAAGGGCTCATTAGATGAAGCTTCAAAGGTTGGTGTTTTCATTTGAGCTGAGTTTTTAAGTTAAAAATTATTTTTGTCTGGATATGGAATTGATAGATGTATACTTTATAGATTATGGAAGACCTTCTCTCTTCTTACCCTGACCTCACTGAAGCTCATGCCCTGGAGGCTTTGATTCATTTTACCAAAAAGGACTATCTACAAGCAGAAAAATGGTGAGGATATATTTAGATTGCTTATAAATCTAGACATGTCTTAATTTATTATTTCTTGAAAATTCGAGCTGAAGGAGTTTGATAAAGATTTTCATTGTTGTTTTTGTTGTTGCTAAGCTGTGTCCACCTCTGTCACCCGTGGACTGTTGGCTCCTCTTTTCTCCACTGTCTCCTGGAGTTTGCTCAAATTCATGTCCAGATAAAGATCTAGTTTTGCATAAATTTGATTTTTGTAAGCTTTACTATTTTAAAAAATTTATTTTTTTTAATATAGCACAGTAACTATGGAAAATTTCATGGTGGATTTTTGAAATCTTATTAGCTAATCATAATGTTCAATAAATATGTGTAACAGTTTTGTTTTAAGTTCTTCTTTAAATCTTTTTTTTCTTTTTCTTCATGATCTAAATCCTAAATCCCAGTATTAATTGCTTAGTCATGTCTGACTCATTGTGACCCCATGGACTGTAGCCCACCAGGCTCCTCTGTCCATTGAATTTTCCAGGCAAGAATACTGGAGTGGGTAGCCATTCTCTTCTCCAGAGGATCTTCTGGACCCAGGGATCAAACCTGGATCTCTTGCACTGCAGGCAGATTCTTTACCGACTGAGCCACCAAGGAAGCCACAGCCTGTTTCAAATTTGGCATCCTTGAATCACTCAAACTTTCAGTGTTCCAGTTAGGGGTCTCCTAATTTTTTAAATTATCTACCTACCTACCTCCCTATCTAAATATTCCATCCTTCCCTTTTGTGACTTAGTTTTCAGCGAGCTCTTGAGAAAGATGCTGAAGTTGCTGAATATCATTACCAACTTGGGTTAACATATTGGTCCATGGGTGAAGAAACAAGAAAAGATAAAACAAAGGCTCTTACCCACTTTTTAAAGGTAGCACATTCTATTATTTAGTTCTTAGTTGAAATGGATTCATTATAAAATCATGAATATTGATAATCAAATAAGTTAGCTCCTTAAGATTGGTCTTTACTGAATTGTTTGTTTTGGGTTCCATCTCTCACACCTAAGGTTTTGTGAGAACAGTGTATGGGTTTTCAAGGAGAAAATTAAACCATTAAAACGTAAAAGTTACTTATTTAAGAAACATGTTATAGAAAATGAAACATAATTACCTTTGGAAAACAGTATCACTTTTAGGTAATTCTAGTCTACTTTTATCAGCTTATGAGTCTTACATACTGCTCCATATTTAACTTATATTTTAGGTGTGTAACGTTTACAAGTTTTGCATCCCTGTCTTGATTCATATAGTCAAATTGATGAGATAGTAACTCAATTTCACATTTTTTAAAGCAAAGAAATAAGTATTTTAATGCTTGTTTTCTATAAGTAGTGATGGCTAGCTTTCATGTCTCCTTTTAATCTTATGTTAAAGGATGTTTTGGCATATTGTATATTTAATTTTTTGCTTTAATCTGTGTATTTGTGTGTGTGTTTAAAGGGACCCATCCTAACAAACTTCAATATTCTATAATTATCAATTTTTTTTCCCAAAGGCTGCCAAACTGGATACATACATGGGCAAAGTTTTCTGCTATTTAGGTCATTATTACAAAGATGTAGTGGGTGATAAAAATAGGGCCCGTGGATGTTATAGGAAAGCTTTTGAATTAGATGACACCGATGCTGAATCTGGAGCTGCAGCAGTTGACTTAAGTGTTGAGCTTGAAGAGATGGTATGTCTTATAATTTAAACACTTTTGTCTTTTATTTTATTCTGAGTATAGAAGTAGAAATATTTTTATATGTGTATTTGAAAGTTATTTTTTATTTTTAGATGCTATAGAAGTCTTTGTGCCACTGCTTATAAATTGAGTAAATTTTTATTGGCAGATACTGAGTTGCTTAATGTTGAAAGTGTGGTTTCAGTATATACCAGTTTAAGTTTAAAAAATCAGAAGTGGTAAATGAAAATGTATCTGTTTACATAAATGTTCAGTATTTTTTATAATATTTAATATCTCTAATTTTAGTCTTTCTTTTTGTTAGGAAACTGCCTTAGCTATCCTGACAACAGTCACTCAGAAGGCAAGTGCTGGGACGGCAAAGTGGGCCTGGCTTAGGCGAGGCCTATACTATCTGAAAGCTGGTCAGCATTCCCAAGCAGTGGCTGAGTAAGGCTCCTTTCTATATTTAACTTCTGTTAGCCCAATGCTTCCTTAAATTAAACTCCATTTGTATCCAAAATGAACTGACAAGTTGCTGTCCACCAGGCTGTATTTTAATCGAAGAAGTAGCAACATTTATTTATGGTTTATTGGCTGTTATTATCTGCATGCACTGGAATTACAAAACTGGATTAACTGATGTCCTTGTGTTAAGGAGAGAGAGATGTCCAGTCAAGTAAAGTCTTAATAGTATCATGTATATAGTAGGTTCTCAGTATAAATTTAAGGAGTGATAATTAGCCAAGGTCAGTATCTTTGTTTTTCTCGCACCGACAAGCATTGTTTTGGGGCAGGAGAGAGATTAGTAGCTCAAAGGGCATTTGGGGCAGCTCATTTGTAGTCGTTTTGTTTGAACTGTGTAAAGAAAATGTGTTTGAATCAAAGTTGTTTCTGATTTATGTTAGTACCTAGAATAGAGGTGTTTAAAGTTTTCATGGATATGGAATTTGATCTGAAATTAAAAGTATGCCTGTTATTCCCATTTTCAACTCTCATATTTCTTGGTGAGGGCTTATAGACTGTGATGTTGAGATGTATACCTGTTCTGGTAGGATAGGAAATTGGAGTTTTCCCACACAGTCAAGGAAAAGAAATTTTGGTGGACATTTCTTCAAAAAAATATTTTTATTCATTCCAAAATTACAATAAAATTTCATACTATTAAAAAATTCACATCATAAAAGGAACAGGTATACCTGCTTTAAATAAATACGGGTTTTCCCTTTTATCCATCAGGGAAACCATGGATATGTGTGATTCAGCTAAATTACTTTGTATTTTCCTTTCAGGTGTGGAAGTAGTTTTATCACTATTACTTCTCTTACTCTTTCTTGAAATTCTTAGTTTACAGGCAGCGTTAAGGGCAGACCCCAAGGACTTCAATTGTTGGGAATCATTAGGAGAGGCATACCTAAGCAGAGGTGGCTATACAACAGCCTTGAAATCCTTCACAAAAGCCAGTGAGCTGAACCCAGAGTCCACGTACAGTGTGTTTAAGGTGGCGGCAATACAGCAAACCCTGGGCAAATATAAAGAGGCGGTAGCTCAGTACCAGCTGATCATTAACAAGAAAGAAGATTATGTGCCTGCTCTGAAAGGTAATTGCTTGTTAATAGCTCCTTTGACTTTTTGTGATGCCAAAGTATAAAATCCTTGAGTAAATTTCTAAATGTATTGAGTAATTTGAAAAGAACTTCTTTAGTCAGTCACATGTGTCCAGTAAGAGCCTTTTATAGAATAGCTTGTTACATACGTCTGAGTCTAGAAAGGTCAGATTTTGTTTTGTGACAGTTAACAAATAGTAATATGATATAGATACAGCTTTTAGATAAATAGCATGATAGGTACTGGATCTAAAAATTAGATCTCTAAAACAGGAATTTTCCTACTCTTGTATTTTGATAATTCATATACTATATCCTCAGAATATCATAATAGGTTTTAGTTACTTTGTAAGTTATAGAACCTTTTTTTTCAGTTTTTGAACTTTAGAGGCAATTTTCATTGTAATTATCTAAATTAATTTCAGTTCCTTTATAGGTATCTATTCCTTCTTTTTGTAATTTCAAGTAAAACACCACCACCCATATTTAATTACTTTTTGAATGATTATTTCCAACTGTTAAAAAAAGCACTGGAGTTCATTGTATTTGCTTTCCTCCATTTCCTTTTCCTTTTTAAAGAATCAGTGGGGAGTTTAATTCAGAAGTACTGTATGTTATAAGTTACATGCAACTTAGACCATGAAACCCTTAAAAAAGTATTTTATGAAATTCCTTAACAGAAGGAGAATTCACATTTATTAAATGTTTGCTAGGCAATTTAGGAAATTACTATTTCATTTAATTTTTAATGGTATGAATGTGAAAGTTGCTCAGTCATGTCTGACTCTTTGCAACCCCATGGACTATACAGTCCATGGAATTCTCCAGGCCAGAATACTGGAGTGAGTAGCCTTTCCCTTCTCCATGGGATCTTCCCAACCACGGGATTGAACCCAGGTCTCCCGCATTGCAGGTGGATTCTTTACCAGCCAAGCCACAAGGGAAGCCCAATGAATGTTTTGAATGTAGAGAGATCAAATCTTGTTTCACGACCCCAGATGATAATAACGTGATAGTGGGTAATAGCATCATATTAGATATTATTAAGTGATATCCCCATTTTCAAAGATAAGATTTTAAGAAGTAAGTAATTTGTTCAAAATCATGAAAATTCGTAGGTTCCATAGATACTACCTTTCGACACATGTTTACTGCAACAGAGCCCTGCCATTTGAATTCTTCAATAAATATATGCAAGACCATGCTTAAAGATACTTCTTATAAAATGCCATTAAATTTTGTCTTCTGGAGGGCAGCTGTTATAGTACACCAATAAATTTATTTGATGTTCATTTTCAGTGTTTCTTTTACATATTTTAACAACTGCAAACTTACTTGATTTTAGGTTTGGGTGAATGCCACCTCCTATTGGCAAAAGCAGCTCTTGTCGATTATCTTGATGGGAAAGCTGTAGACTACATAGAGAAAGCACTGGAATATTTTACTCGGTTAGTATTATTATTTATTGTGTTTATTTTCTTAGTGTTATAATGAAGCCAAATTTAGAAAAATCATTCTCTGTTTATCCTATTAGCTGTAGCAGTCATTATTCAGAATCTCAAACATAAAGAATGACAGACTAACCTATTAATTCTGCAACATACATATTGTATTGATTTTGCACTGGGGAACAGATATAGTTTCTTGCTTTTAAGCAGCTGAAATGCTGGATGCATAGAGAAGAGTGGGAAGGAAGAAGTAGTCAGCTAGTGGAGCAGCAGCTTGGGTACCACTGTGTTCGTGTTCTTTCAGGAGACCTAGAGGTACAAGTATCTAATTAGAACAGGTTGGTAAATGGCACTTTAGGTGTACATCTGGCTTTACATTCAGTAGTTAGAGCCTATGTTAGACTTATGGGTAGGACTAAAGGTGAAGTAGCAGTCTGATTGTTCCTGGAGAGAATCTGTGTAGGAAAAAAAGTGGTATCTAATAACAAGAAAGAAGAAACGTTTCAGCAAATCTGGTTATTTTATGGAACTATATTCATTATTTAAATGGAATGTTATTTGTGATAGATGGCTGTAAAAGGTACACAAGTTAGACGCAGAATTACGTTTTTTTTTGCTCTTAAACATCTTTAGTGTGCTTCACTTCCTTTCTTTTCCTACTTGCCTTCTCCTCTGTGTCTGATTGATTTCCTTGCTCTCGAATTGATTTGCTTTGAATATGAACCAAATTTGAAGTGAAAGCTTCACTCTTTTTTCTCCCTCTGATGTGTGTAGTTTCTTTTCAAGTCCTTCATAACACTTAAAACTCTTTCCATAGAGGATGGTATTGTGAAGAGGGTGTAATTTATTTGAACTAGCGTGTAAGGGTAAATGTGAGCCTTTGAGTGGTGATGCTTCAGCTCCAAATACTGCCTTTCTGAGTGGAGAATTTTGTTCTGGATACCATGTAGCACTCACAACTAATTACAAGTAGGTATATAGAACTTTTTTGTTTTGTTTTGTTTTTTTGGTATATAGAACTTTTAAAGTGATAGATAGCCCCAAGTTTGTATTTACTTCTATACTTGAATGTTCACATGACTTCAATTCTTGTGTAAGGGCAGTAGAAGTTATTTCACTTTACAGATATTTTATTTTTTACTGAACTTAAAAGGAGTTAAGAGTTTGGGTTGTTAAACTGCCAGTGATTCTCTTCTTTTTTTTCCTCTCTGTTTTCACCTTCCATGCTGTCAATTTTGGAAGCTGCACTAAGACACTTAGGCAGAGGAGCTACAAATAGTGTTGCCGTTCCTCCTGATCCTCACATTGGGCTTTCAGTGATGACTGCAATAATTAATCTTGTTTCTCAGAAAGACATTGGAAAATGATTTTTGGCTGGACTCCATGAGTAGAAAAGGCTATGAACAATGTTCCATCTGCTTGTCCATCTGCCAGTAACATAGCTGTTTGTGACGGCTGATTACTGAGACTTGGCTTAATTGTGCAATTGCTGTGTTTTATTTATAAGATTTTGAGAAAAGTGCAGAGAAATGAATAGCTGAGATTTTCTCATTCTTAAAAAGAAGTGCCCTTTGCCACCATAATTAATATTTTTATTTATTTTTTGAGCTTGTCCACTGAGTCTTAACTTCCTTCAAAAGATAGGGATTGTTCATACTTTCATATTTAGATTTTTGGTATTCTTGAACTCAGAAAGTAAAACTCCTTTGGATCACCAAATATATTTGCTATGTTATACATTTGCTAGTTCTTTTTCTTAAATTTGAGGACGATCAAGCAAAACCTAAGTTTATGATAATCAACTAAGAGTTAGGGACTTTACTGGTTTGGTTTTTGTTTAAATAGACAAACACAAAAAGCATAATTTAAAAGATCCAGTATTAAAGGTAAGTTGGTCCTGGATAATTTACTGATTTATTTATGGGATTTCTGCTGCTTCTAAGAAAAATGATAAAGAGTACCAAAGAAATGTTTGCACAGTTTCTGTCACTTAATTCATTCTCCTTCCCCTCTTCCTTTCTTCTTAAAAAGGAGGTAATAAGATATAAGATGGTTAGTAAATTCAGTAAAGCATTTGCTGCATTTAATTAAGGAGCCATGTACACTTTCCTGATGTAACTGTATGTAGCAGTGAAAGAGATAGATGCCATACTTTTTGGAAATAGTTTTTAAGCATCACAGTTTCTTTTTTTAGGGCTCTGCAACATCGAGCTGATGTGTCTTGCCTTTGGAAGCTAGCTGGGGACGCTTGTACCAGTCTGTCTGCTGTCTCACCATCTAAAGTGAATGTCAGTGTCTTAGGAGTCCTTCTAGGTCAGAAGGAAGGAAAACAAGTATTAAAGAAAAATGAGCTCCTCCATCTTGGAGGAAGGTAATTTACAAAGATGGTCATTTGATGACATTCAAATTAAATTAGAACGTCATAACAAAATATAACATTCACTTTTATGTTTCCATAGATGTTACGGTCGTGCATTAAAACTGATGTCTACATCTAATACGTGGTGTGACCTTGGAATTAATTATTATCGCCAAGCACAACATCTAGCAGACACAGGCCACAACTCAGATGACCTTCAAGAGTTGTTGGAGAAATCTATGCATGTATGATTTTGAGAAATTTTTTATAAACTTAAGATCTTTTCTGAAAGGTGCTTTAGATAAAGTATATACTAGAATGTTTTCACATAAATTCACATTCATTTGTATATAAATGTTGATATTTCAAGAAATAAAAATGTATCTAATTTTACTTTTCAGTGTCTGAAAAAAGCTGTGAGACTTGACAGTAATAATCACTTATACTGGAATGCTCTTGGTGTAGTTTCATGTTACAGTGGTAAGAATTGAATTAACACTTCAATATTTTTAGATTGTTTTAGACAATAAAGTTCAGTTTTATCAAAGTCTGTATTTTTCAGGTATTGGAAATTATGCCCTTGCTCAGCACTGTTTCATCAAATCAATCCAGTCAGAACAAATTGTGAGTGTTCTGTGTCTCTGTCTGTGAAAAAGAACATCGAAATTTAGTGTTAACTTTCTGAGACTGCCATGTAAATAAAGGACCTAATTTTATTTGTTTTTTAGAATGCAGTTGCATGGACCAACTTGGGAGTGTTATACCTTGCAAATGAAAAAATTGAGGTAAATACTATATTGTCTGCTTTGTTGTATTCTAAGTAAAGAATGTTTTCTATGTGTGATCTCTTCATAATAACTCAGCTTCTTGTGGAGAAATACTTTGCACATTGTTAATCTATGTAGCATTCTCCTTGATATGCTAGATGTTGGATAGCATTTACTTTACTATATTGAACATTGAATGTGTAAGATTTGTTTTCCTTTCCATGTCCCAAGAAATTTTTGGTTTTATAATTACATTGTATTTTCATTTAGAGAGTAAAACAACTTTATTATGAATTATTTGGGTGTTTTTCTTTTTATCTTTCATACATGTCTTAGGGGTGGGATGATGAAGTAAGGGCAATGATTAGTACTCTCTAGAAACTTAAATTTAACCTTTGCTCTGGTGATTTAGATTCACCTTTAACAGATATTGATCCCTTTATGTGTACGGTGTACTCTGTTATACTCAAACCATTGTATGTTAGAGAAACTGGAGCTACAGTGATGGGGAGCCTGTCTGCGGGTCTCGTTTGCTCCCCTGGCGGCTCAGTTGGTAAAGGACCCGCCTCCAGTGCAGGAGACCGCAGTTCGATCCCTGGGTCGGGAAGATCTGCTCAAGAAGGGACAGCTACCCACTCCAGTGATCTTGGGCTTCCTTGGTGGCTCAGCTTACGGTAAAGAATCCGCCTGCAATGTGGGAGGCCTGGGTTTGATCCCCACCTTGGGAAGATTCCCCTGGAGAAGGGAAAGGCTACCCACTCCAGTGTTCTGGCCTGGAGAATTCCATGGGCTATACAGGCCATGGGGTCGCAAAGAGTCGGACATGACTGAGCGACTTTCACTTTCAGAAATTTCCATGGATCTGTAGATAATAGCACACCTATACTGTTTTGTGTTTCAGCCAGTATATTGAATATCATCCTTTTAAAATAGCTTCAGTGATATTCTCAGGGATACATGAAGTCTCTGCAAAGACTGCTTTGGAAGACTGTAAATAAAGTGAAGAAAAATACTAATTTGAATCTTAAAATATGTAAAAATATTTTTTAAAAATTTAAGCAAAGCGAAGTTTTAGTCAATAAGCTATGACTGGTTTTATGGTAGTGTTGCCTGTGAGCCTGTGGTCTCATAAGGAAGAAAAGACGATATCCAGCCATGCAGAGATTATTGGGAAAACAGTGTAAAGCAACATATAATAAGCTCTTCTTCATAGCAGAAAAAAGAAAAAAAAAAACATGTGATGTGATTTTAAGTGTCTAAGTGGGGTGTCTTGAAAGTTTTCTAAATGCTTAGTGCAGATTTATGTTGACCATTCCTTTTCACCCACTAGCAGTCTCAGACCTCACTGGTTGTTAGTAGTAGTTTTTATCTTCCCACTTAAGTTCAAGGCAAGGGGAATAGATACAGTCTTCTCTAAGTATTTCCATTAAACCTGTGTTGTGGTAATCGCTCAGTCGTGTCTGAGTCTTTGTGCCCCATGGACTGTAGCCCTCCAGGCTCCTCTGTCCATAGGATTCTCCAACCGAGAACACTGCAGTGGGGTGCCGTTTCCTTCTCCAGGGGATCTTCCCCACCCAGGGACTGAATCCAGGTCTCCTGCACTGCAGGCGGACACTTTACCTCTGAGCCCCCTGGGAGGCCCTGCATTAAACCTGTGGCTTAGCAAATAGTTGGGTGATTGACTGAAAATTTTGCAGACCAGGAGTAGACACCTGCGGTGCCCTTTCATTGAGGACCAGAACTCCCAAGCCTGTAGAGAAATCCGGTGTATCCAGAACTGTTTGCGCATGCTCAGTTGCTGAATTGTGTCCAAGTCTGTGCAACCCCATGGACTGCAGACTGCCGGACCCCTCTGTCCATGTAAATCTCCAGACAAGAGTACTGGAGTGGGTTGCTGCTTCCTCTTCCAGGGGATCTTCCTGACCCAGGGATCAAACCCCTGTCTCTTGCATTGGCATCCAGATTCTTTACCACTGAGCCACCTGGGAAGCCTCCAGAACTCTTTAGGACTAGGTATTTAAGACATTGTTTTAAGTGTTGCTGCACATGCAAGTGCAAATTGTGCTTAAACAGTGAAGTTTTAGTTCACTGTTTCATTTGTATTTATGTTTACAAGTCTGATTTTTCTTATTCTCTTATGCTTTTTAAATATAAGTGATTTAATATTAGACTTATAAATTGACTATTTTTTGTCTTTTTTTTCTAGCAAGCTCATGAAGCTTTCAAAATGGCTCAATCCCTTGATCCATCTTATTTAATGTGCTGGATTGGACAAGTAAGATACATAACATATAGTTATTAATAACCTGTGATACAAATAAGCTATTAATAGAAAGGGGTATCAGTTCAGTTCAATTCAGTTGCTCAGTCATGTCTTTGCGACCGCATGGACTGCAGCACGCCAGGCCTCCCTTTCCATCACCAACTCCCGGACTTTACTCAAACTCATGTCCATTGAGTCAGTGATGCCATCCAACCATCAGAAAGTGGTATAAATATCTGTTAATATAAACAACACTGATAATGAGAGCATTTGGGGGCTTACTTTGTGCCAGTCACTGTGCTAGACGCTTTGTATGTGGAATATGAATCTCAGAGATCCTGAGTATCATACCCCAGGTCATACAGCTTATAATGATTAAGCTTTGAACACCATCACTCTTACATTATTATATCTAAAAAATAAACCTGGGATCCTGTTAACATACATTTACCAAAAAAATGAACATTTGCAAAGATCATCTTGATTTTATTTTCTCATTTTCTATAAAATCTTCATATTTAATTTGGTACTTGTTTATGAGTGTCCCTCCCCACCCCGACCTGAAAAGTTTAGATTTTTGTACTTGCAAATAGGAATCAAGTTACTAGTCTGAGTCTGTCATTGACTAATTGTTTATCTTATCAACTGCTGGATTTCCCTTTTCTTACCTGGAGAAGAAGGGGATTGGTCTGAGTGGTCTCCTGGGTTTTCTGTCTTTCAGTTCAGAGAAGAGTGGGAGCATCACCCATATTATAAAATCAGTAATTAGTGATTCAGTTCAGCTGCTCAGTCGTGTCCAACTCTTTGTGACCGCATGGACCACAGCACGCCAGGCCTCCCTGTCCATCACCAACTCCCAGAGTTTACCCAAACTCATGTCCGTTGAGTCGGTGATGCCATCCAACCATCTCATCCTCTGTCGTCCCCTTCTCCTCCTGCCTTCAATCTCTCCCAGCATCAGAGTCTTTTCCAGTGAGTCAGTTCTTCGCGTCAGGTGGCCGAAGTACTGGACTTTCGGCTTCAACATCAGTCCTTCCAATAAACACTCAGGACTGACTGATCTCTTTTAGGATGGACTGGTTGGATCTCCTTGCAGTCCAAGGGACTCTCAAGAGTCCTCTCCAACACCACCATTCAAAAGCATCAATCCTTTGATGCTCAGCTTTCATTTTAGTCCAACTCTCACATCCATACATGACTACTAGAAAAACCATAGCCTTGGCTAGATGGACCTTTGTTGGCAAAGAAATGTCTCTGCATTTTAATATGCTGTCTAAGTCATAAGTTTCCTTCTAAGGAGTAAGTGTCTTTTAATTTCATGGCTACAGTCACCATCTACAGTGATTTTGGAGCCCACCAAAATAAAGTCAGACACTGTTTTCCACTGTTGCCCCATCTATTTGCCATGAAGTGATGGGACCAGATGCCATGATCTTAGTTTTCTGAATGTTGAGCTTTAAGCCAACTTTTTCACTCTCCTCTTTCACTTTCATCAAGAGGCTCTTTAGTTC